GCCTGTGAGTAAGGGGACCATGGCTTCCTTTAATCCTATTACTGCCACCCATATTGCAATGGATCCCTCTCTGTAGGTCTTTATACTAGAATCTCTACATAAAAATAGAAAACATATAACGACTTTATATTAATCCAAGTTTGTATTCTCGCCCAGACTAATATATCTACATTAATTTTATTGTTCATTTAATTCATTATAAAATGCTAAAGCACAATCTACACATGCAGCAGTTCAAAAATTCTAAAAGAGCATCATGCACGGTGTCTTTGACAATCTAACATAAAGCTTAAAGTATACATATATCTGCTGCTTTTTGAGGGGCACAGTTCTAATGAACTGCACTTAACATTGGTGTGATTTATAATGAAGAATTATAAAAATGACTTTTTGGAATGTTTGGTTTTTACTTATTTGTGAGATCTGTGCAACAGGTTGCTGAAAAAACAACCTGAAATATAAACGCAAAATGCTTTAGCCTTTAGTTTTACTTCACAAACAATAGGTGTAATTATTTAATCAAATATAAGAAGCTTTATATTATATTTGTCTCAATGCCCTTTAGAAGTTCAAATCAGCCATGTGTGACAGAGAAATGCAAATGTGCTGATGCCAGCTGCAGGGCAATCACAGCTTATTAGAACTTGGTGTCGCTATACCAAGCATTTTTTGTTGTTGTTTAACAATTTGTGCCTCATATGACTGTCAATTATTACACACACACACACACACACACACATTTTCTCAGATTTTTACTACAGCCTGTCAAATGCTGTATCCACCCATAGGTGGTCAGCGGGCCCCTTTCATTCACGCGTTTTCCCTGTGGCCCCTCAGTTCAATGTTAACGTCCAGCAGGTCCCACCCTCCAGCTTTTCACACCCTCATCTCCTCTTGTGCTGTCCAGCTGGCTGTAACCCCTGACCTTTTGACCCTCACTCCTGACCCTTGGATTCGTTCCCACGGCACACCTTTTTGTACGGATCTCACTGTGGCAATGGCTGCCACGGTAACAGATGGATAGAACAGTGAAAATAACTTTATTCAGCAGAGAGGTGGACACACTGCCTGAAATGCTCCTTAATAACCATCACACAGCATTTCTGAGCTCCATGATTTTTAACGCAGTTTACAATTAAAACATTTTACACACACATCAGACTCTTTGAAAATCAGCATTTGTTATAAGACAACACTTGACTTTATCTGAATCACATATGGAAGAAGGCTGACATCTACATCAATTTGTTTACATCTACATCAATTTACATTTACAACAGTGATTTATGATTTGCAATATGTGATATGCAGCCCTATCTCAAAAAAAGATGACATATTAATTAAACTTTTTAGTCATTAAAAACAGTGGTAAATGATTATTGATTCTAATTCTGTCAGTAAACATGTCCACAGTTTTAGAGCAAGGCAAAGCAATTTTATTTATATAGCACATTTTATACACAGTGGCAATTCAAAGAGCTTTACACAGTGGTGGAAAGAGTACTGATAATCCAGACTTAAGTTAAAGTACCATTACTTGTCTAAAAATGTAGTGCGAGTAAAAGTATCTGTTTTAAATATTACTCAAAGTATGAGTAAAAAGTAGACCTTTCAAAAGTACTCAAGAGTAGCGAGTAGTGAGTATTAAGTTGTAAAAAGCTGATGCGTTTACATGTTATTTGTGGATGTGTGTAAATGTAACATTCTATGCTGCATTTAGTTATTGCCCAATAGGCACACAACGTCATAAGACATTAATATTAGGTTAGATTTAGGTTGTGATGTCAGGTGACCAAAATTTAATGTCTAGCCAGCATCTAAGGACAATGTAATTTTGATGTCCAATAACGCTGTCTAATGGCGTTGATATTTTGTTGATTTTAGGTTTTGTTAGAAAGTGACCAAAATCCAACATCAATACAACATCTTAAACCGTCACATTGACATCAAATACTGACATTTATTCATCAAGTATGGCAACCAAAATCCAACATCTGACAGAAATCATAGTGGTATTGTTTACACACCATAAAGCTGTAACATCATTAGATGTTGATATTTGGTTGATTTTAGGTTGGACATGGAGGTCAGCAAGACGTTGGGTTCTGATGTCAACCCGATTTTCATTTCCAAACAAAAGGAAACGTCCCCACGGCGTTGGGGTACAACATCAATCTGACATCATATTGATGTCTTGGGCCTGTTGGGTGTTTAAGGCCATTTTGGTCATCATACAGTAGACATCCACCATCTTCTAATCAGTGACATGCATCTCAACAGTCTCTGGGTCAATGCGTGTAAAGATTTAGAACATTTCTTGGACACTTTTAATGCTTCCTAAAACTTTGGAATTATTTGCTATTATAAATTGCCCATGTCTTGTGGTTGTTCATTATGATGTGATTTACCTTCTATGTGCTTTTTGATTGGACAGGAATCACAGCAGTAGCTGAAAGCATATTCACCCTGCTTTGAATAAACTCTTGGAATTTCTTGTTTATATGATCTGTATATCTGTTAGGTTTGTATTCAGTGAGCATATCTTTAATGTATTGAGGTCCTAGACCATTTAGTGATTATAGACAAGTAGTAATACTTTAAAATATATTCTGAATTTAACTGAGAGCCAGTGAAAACCTGAGGGCAGATGTAACGTGTTCTAATTTTCTGGTCAGAATGCTGGCAGCAGCATTCTAGACAAGCTGCAACTGTCTGACTGTCTTTTTGGGAAGGCCACTGAGGAATCCATTACAGTTATCCACTCTGCTGGTGATAAAAGCATCAACAAGTTTCTCTAAGTCTTTTAATCCTTGCAATGTTTTTGATATGATAGTATGCTGATTTACTTACTGCTTTCACAAGATTACTGAAACTTATCTGACTGCAGAATAACATCTTAGTGAATATATGAAGTGGCTCAAAAAGATTCACTTCAATCTGACATTACAGTAAGTGACCACAAAGAGGAAAGTTTGTTGTGAGTAGTTTGTGCTAGTATCTGTTAATTTGGTGCTTGTTAAAAAAAGTGCATACTTTATGTAATTGTGGCCTTTATATATGATTATATTTTCAAATACAAAGAGCAGAGCAAGTCTAAAAGAACATGAAAATTATCTTCAGTATTAAGTGCTTTTTTTTTTTTTTTTGCTTTATAGTCTTCGTGGTGGTGTGTCGGAAAAGCTTGTGGAGTCTTTAACCTTTTACAGAGAACTCTGTTGCCCTTTGACCCTTTTATTGAGTAAACAAGACAACAAACAAGATAACAACAAACAAGACCTTGGGTCTATTTCTGAAATACTAAAACAAATGACTAACAAAGACTAAGTTTAGATTTTCCAAAATGGTCCAAACCCTAACTGTTGAGCTGAAACCCCACATTCGGACTTGTTCAGTTCTACATTTCTAACTCTCCAACCTGCATCTGTATCTCCATCTCTCCCTCGCTCTGCCTCCGCCTTCTCTCTTTCTCTCTTGCCTGGTTCATTGTGTCCTTGGAGATTTTCTCCATTGAGCTTGAGTCTCTTAGGAAACCCCAGTCCTGCATAAAATGAGGGGGACTGAAGAAAAGGAGGTTAGGAGGGAGGAAGGGGGAAAAGAGGAGGGGAAAATCTAGAGAGGGGACACTAAATTTGAGGGACAGTGTGAGGATCGAACAGAAGATGTTGAGGAGGTTCAGAGGAGTGGATCAGAGAGGAGACTACCAACAGCATCATGTAAAGGAGGACGTAAGAACATCTGTCATTCTGGCCCAAGGATCTAAACCCGATAACTCGTAACTACTCTTTTTCTAAACAGGCCTTACCCAAGGAATCTTTCATAGCTCCAGAGTTCTTTTTAGCTCAGAAGACGTAATGGAATTTTAAGAAGTGGTTTGATTAAGTATAATAATATTTCTCTAAATTTTTTTTGAAACAAGTGCGTAAACAATTGGTAGAATACAACAAGAGTACTGAGCTATAAAATGTGGATTTGTGGATTCTATACAATGTGAACACTCTGTATTGTGAGAATTAAATGACAAATAGTTGGTTCATTTTGAGATACATGCTGATTTTGAATGCTGTTGAGATCTCTTCTAAAGTCCTAGAGAAGATCACTGAAACCTTTTTATCAGTGGGCAACATTTGAAAAGTTAGTTTTTTTTTAAATACTATTTAAAAAGTAAATTATTATTTTATTACGATCATGCTTAAAGATGGATTGAAAATGCATTTTTTCTATTGCTGAGGGTAAAGAGTTCTTTGTTTTGGAATTTAGCATTACTGAGTTTGCTAATAGCAGGTGGAATCTAGATTTGCAGACATTTTCTGTCCAGATTTGGAGAAATCCTCTGAAAGGTGGAAGTAGATGTGCAAGCAATAAGGGATGTGTTGTAATTTTATACAGAGTTGTGCACACACACATGTGGACCTGACAACTCTTTCCATTGATTCCACAAATGTCAAGCAAATATTTTTTGGAAATCAGGCAATCTGATGACTGACGGACGGATTAAAATACATAATTCTCATCTTTGCCATTTTAAGCTCTGATAAAGTTCCATTGTTAGTTGCTCAAGAAAACAGCTCTTAATTGTATATCTCTCTTAAAATATTAATACAGTTAAAACCACTGGGCACAAAAGGAGAGGGAAAAAACCTTTTGGGCCAATTTTTAAGCAGCATTTAGTAAGACGCCATGGAAACCGAAGCATATTTACAGCCTGTCAAAGTTGGAGAAACTGAATGGTTTGATTTATTTTAGATCTTTTGTGTAAGTATTTGAGTTATGGGTTAAGACCCTGCAGTTGAGCTGTGCTATTATCTGAAGCTCTGTGCTTTGATCGCTTAGGCCATGAGGATCCTATTGTGACTGCACAGCTGCCCGGAGTGCTGACCCTCACATCGCTGACTATTGTGTCTGGTCAATCACTTATTAAGACCCTAACACAGCAGGGAGAGACCACTTCTCTTCTCTTCTCTTCTCTTCTCTTCTCTTCTCTTCTCTTCTCCTTCCCCTCTCTTCTCTTTTAAGTTCATCTGTCTGGTTTGATACTGACGGTCAGGTGCTGATTGTCCAAACGCAATTCTTGTGCTTGTGTGAAACAGGAGTTGTGGATGGACATCACGCTCCTGTCTGGTCCTCACATCTACAGGATGGGCCAAGTAAAGATTTAAAAAGGACTTGTGGTCCTTCAAACCACAGTTGACTGTTTTTAAAATAAGACACTAATTCAGCTTTTGGTGATTTGGTTCCGTCTTCTCTTCAGTCTTTAGATTATTCATGTATTAAAAAAACATATAATCAGATTACACAATTATTTCATTTTTGCACACTTTGCTTCTCAGACGCAATTGGAGTAATAAAAACTTGGTTAAAAACATGTAATTTATCACTTTTTTTCTGTTTAGATGTGTATTTAGATCAATGGTCCTTAACCAGGGGTCGATGACACACTCAACTTCCTAAAGACTACCAAGGTGACATAGCTACTTAGAACAAGACAAATATTGGAAATATTATGGCTTATGATATTGCTAAAACATCTACAAATTAAATGTTATTTAAATTCACTCACTAACTTTTATTTCTGTTATGATTAACTACTTTTTAAAATAAATTTTATCTACAGATTATTGATTTAAGGCAGGTTATCTTAAATGGGGAGCCATTCAAAAGAACTAACTAATTAACGAAAAAGAAAGAAAGAAAGAAAGAAAGAAAGAAAGAAAAAGAAAGAAAGAAAGAAAGAAAGAAAGAAAGAAAGAAAGAAAGAAAGAAAGAAAGAAAGAAATTGTGACCATGTGTCCATTGGGCAGGTGACCTGTGAACATGCAAATGTTGTGAAATAAAGAGATTTATAGTTATAACATATATAGAGAGAGAGTTTCACGGGAGAACAAGCACAGACAATACAAATGAATATGACCTAATCTAAATTAATACTATTTAATTTTAATTGCAGACATTGCGTCTTGTGTCTTTTATATGTTTTAGAATAAGGATGAAATAGAGAAATAGGATCCATAACTAACTCCAATAAACATTCTAAATAATATAGAAATTGATTTTTCTTTTTTAATACTTAATACAAAATACTTTAAGACAAAAAAATCGAAATGGATATAAACTGAAGACAGAGATTTAAAGATAAAGCAAATAAGAATATAAAGCAGTGGCTCTTAAGAGCTTGAACTTTTACATTAAAAAAAACAACAACATTGTATCAAAACAACAGGGTGAAAATCTAAAATTCAAAAGAATAAAAAAGACTCAAATCAAAGGTATAGTGTGACAATCTATCTGTGCAGATGGAAATGAAAAAAAGCAACACGGAGAACAGCAGAAAGAAAGAATAAGGGAGAGAGATCAAGAGAGATGTGCATTAATATGCTAATTGCCTGAGTCAATACACAACAGTTCTACTGACCAGACTAATCACTGCTGGACACACACTGAGGTTAATCCCCCCCCCCACTCACTCCCCCATACACGCACACACACTAATCCTCACTCACATTAAGAAGCATGTGTGTGCACACATCAGGCATGCTTGCACATTTGCATGGACACAGCACACATTACCCACTTTCACCCACCCACCCAGCCACACACACACACACAATACTTTTCTCTTGTCTTGATTAAAAAATATATAGTACATTTAGTACATGGAATTCTCACGTTCTAATGTTATTTTATTTTCAGTGTGTCAAAGGCTGGCTAACATTTCATGCATGAATAAACTTGTCATTTTTGGAATTTTGTATAACTTGTACTAATGTAAATATATTGTGGAAATAGACTTGTCATTATGCTTCCATAATTTTTTTTTCAATAAACTTAGTTTTCTTCAGTCTAATCTATCTTTTGTTTTTCTTTCTTTGTTGTTTTTACACATTATTTACTTTAAACTGGCTCTGCCGTCTCATTGGTAGGCTACACACCAACAGTTATGATTTTAAAAAGTATAAGAGAAACATCATTACCAACTTAACAAGTATAAGTGATGTGCAGTATAAAAGCATTTATTCACTATTCATTTTCTTTCGGCTTAGTCTCTTTATCAATCTGGGGTTGCCACAGCAGAATGTACCACCAACTTATTCAGCATATGTTTTACATAGCGGATGCCCTTCCACCTGCAGCCCATCACTGGAAAACACCCATACACTCCCATTCACACACATACACTATGGACAATTTAGCTTACCCAATATACCTGTAGCACATGTCTTTGACTTATGTAGGAAACGCACGTGAACATGGGGAGAACATGCAAACTCCACACAGAAATGCCAACTTCAATGCTCGAATAAGCAACCGTCTTGCTGTGAGGCGACAGTGCAAACCACTGAGCCATATATATATATATATATATATATATATATATATATATATATATATATATATATATATATATATATATATATATATATAAAATAGTAACACCATACCTTATAAAACATGTTTTCGGAGACACCGCAGAGACACTTATTTTGCATTTTGGTGGAAGAATTTAAACCAGTAAAAACAGTGCAATAAAAATCACTCTCCTAGTCTGTGCAACATAAAAACAGCAACATTATAGAGTGAAATCAGAAAAAAGCATAACTATAATTTGTTTTTTCGACAATATTTGCTTACGTAAACCTGAGGCTTTCTCTGCTGACATCAGATGTTGCACAGGAGAGGTCTTAGTCAAGTTTCATGCCTTTTAATATTTTCTGGCTAAAAGGTCTATGTCCATCCTACTTGTAACCTGAGCTTGACCACAAGAGCTTGGAGGATGTGTCCAAACAGAACAGAGAAACATAATCATAGTTTACCTAGAAAATATTTATCAACATTGGATGCTCAACTATGCACTTAAAGCAGGATTTAATCATATTTAATTTTACTTACCAATCTTTTGGTGCCTAAAACCTTGAAAAAGATTTTTAAATGATTTGTTGCTGTATCTGCATTGTGAAGTTCATGTGATAGTTAAATGTTGGTCTCATGTTTTTTTTTTTTTTTTTTTTTAAATGGATGATCCTGTATGAGCAAAAACCAAATCCTCCTCAACAACTTCTCCCTAAGTGGATATGATGACGATTTCCACTTGTTGCCTCACAAAAGTCTTCCTGCAAAATATGAGAAAAAAAAACAAACAAACAACCATTTTACATTCATACATTTAAATCTATAGTAGGTAAAATAACAGACATATAAGGTCATGTGGATTTTATCGATGCAAATTCCACATGAAGCATTGAATAATTTTACATTTACATGAAGCATACAATAATCTTATGAAAAATGTTTTACATATTCTTTCTTGTAATGCGGGTATTTCAATGATAAGAACAAAGAGTTAAAAATATCATGGATTCATGGTATCACAGAATTGTAATAATTACTGCTCTAAAAAATGTTGTTTAAATGTCTGGGTAGAAAACAACAACTTTTTCATGTTATTTTAAGCAACATTTAAAATATTTTGGAACAGCATCATTGATACATATACCTTAGAAAATGTATGACAGAATATTTGGTTTTAAAACCTTGACTTTTCCAAACCGCGGTAAACACTGAAAATGGTTATGGCCCATGCCTAAAAACTTAAAACCCCTGTGAAAACTTAAAATCTTAAATGCTAAATAGTTCTTTACCCATGCCTCTCTGTCATGTATGCCACCAGTTAACAAGTAGTCTTAACAACTCTTTTAACAAAATATCAGTGTCCCTGTACTCTTAAATGGTTTCTTCACCTTAAGATTTTTATTTTTAAGTAATCTGTCATCTAAGTAAAAACCAAATAACAGTTTATCCAGATGTCATTCTTTAGTGAGACAACAATGATTATTAATGCTACATATCGTTCCAGAAATAAATAATAAATATGATTCATGAGCTAATTTATTATAACATGAATCTGCATATATTTATGTATAGTAGTCAACATTTGAAGTGGATCAAAAAAAATATTTCATAGTGCCACAAAAAATTCAACGCATTGAACACGTGTTTATACAGGTGCAGCTCATATAATTAGATTATCTCTAAAAAGTTTAATTATTTCACTAATTTCATTCACGTGAAACTTGTATAATGTATACATTAATTCCACACAGATTGATATATTTCAATTGTTTATTTTTTTATTTAGATGATTTTGATGACAAGGAAAACCCCAAAATTCAGTATCTAAGAAAGTAATATTATTGCAATAAAGTTCAGTATTGAAGACACCTGGTGCCACACTTTACTAAGCTGATTAACACAAAACACCTGCAAAGGCCTTTAAATGATCTCTCAGTCAAGTTCTGTAGGCTTCACAATCATGGGCAAGATGGCTGATTTGACAGTTGGCCAAAAGATGACCATTGACAATTTACAAAAAGGAGGGCAAGACATGAAATGGTCATTGCAAAAGAGGCTGGCTGTTTGGGGCTAAGCCCCTTATCCCTTTCGACCCTAGCAACGCCCCTGGTTGTCATCAAAATCATCAAAATTAAAAGAAATAAACACTTGATATATCCGCATCTGTGGTTTTACTTTCTGAAAGGAATTAGTGAAACAAGCCAACTTTTTGAAGATATTCTAATTATATGACCAGCACATCACATCAGCACAGAACTCATAGAGTCAGGCTATTAAAAAAAACTAAACTAAAACCTGATGACTTCAATGTTGAAAGATTGATTTAAGTGTAAGTAACTGTAAGTATCTGTTTTTCCATCAATATGTTAAACAGTAATGTACAAAAAACTTATGCCACCTCCTTTGTTGATGTTTGTTCCTTCATTGCGCCAACTCTATCATCTTTTGGCACATCTCACTCATCATTTATCCTCAACTCTGCTTCTCACAAAAAAAGCAGCCACATCAGCAATATTAATAACTTTAAAATACACATTAAACTATCAATACTGATTAATACAAAATTTAATGGTTAAGGGGTGGAAAGATTCACAAAAAATGCTGGTTAATGTCATCTAAAATATTTTTATTACATTTAATATTTTATTACATTTAAATGATATAAAAAAACACACTTACCGTAATCAACTTTATAAATTTCTTCAGCTCAGTCTTAATCTGCACTTTCACAAACATGACTAACCTAAAGAGGAAGAAAAAATGTGCTTAATCAGTACAGGGGGGTTTTATGTCGGGCACTGTGACAAAATTTTATTTATTTTTTATACTTCCACAGGTTGCATTATTATTCAGCAGTGGTTATTTTCTGTTAATATATATTTTGAAATATGGTCCAAAGTGCAACTATGTGGAATATCCTCTGTGATTTTTTTTACTTAATTTATTTATTTATTTATTTTTTTGTTGCTGAAACTAAGAACATACATACATACATACAAACATACGTATACATACATACATAAAACAAAAATTACAGTATCAATCAACAAATGACCTTGGCAAAAAGTATAGTATGAAACAATGAAAAAAATGGCAAGAGAGAAAGAGAAGAGAGAAAGAGAACAAAAATTATTAATGATTTTTTGCAAATACAAAGGTTAATTTAAGGTACTTATATAAAGATCCCAAACGCAGAGTATAGTTTGACCGTTTTTAAAGCTTTCTTATTAAATGATGCAGAAAATTAACTATTGAATTCTCCATATCCTTAATGAAGACCACAAAGGCAGGTTTACTTGTGAATTTGCATTTGTGAATGTAAAATTTACTTAAGATATTTAAATTGATTAAAAATAACCCAAAAAATAATTGTCATTTGTATAGAAAACTTTGGTAGAATCTTCACTTTAACAAATAAATTTATATTATTAAAAAACTCCTGAATGTAATGACATGACCAAAACAAATGTTTCATCAGCATTCCCACAAAAAGAACAGTTCAGGTCAGTGTAAACTTTTGTATAAATTTCTTGACAGGATAAAATCTATGAATCAGTTTAAAAGAAACCTCTTTTACCTTATTTGTGAGAAAAAAAATTTATAGCAACCAGATTTTCTCATAGTTAAGATTATAAAAAGGTTCTCCCAAAAGAATATACTGTGTGGAGTAGAGGTTAGATTCTCAAGAAATAGTTATCTTATTTATTGATTTTTGTTTCTTTCTTCCAATTTTTTTTTACTTCATGCTCTCCATTTGAATTTCGCGCGCCACAAGAATCACGTGATTGCAAACGACTTGCGGATGTGACGTGGGTGTGACACTCTTGGCGATGCACTGGCCGGATGCTGCGCAAGCAGATGCATATAGACACATATTTGATAGACGTAGTCAAACGAATTGTGCAGAAACTGAAAGTTTAACCTTCACATGGATTTGCTTAAGACATTTATTATTTTGATTTTTATTGTAGCGTTTTAGACGTTTCTTACCTATATAATACTTTGTATTTTATCTTTGTGTTATTGTTAGTATGAAGGGTGCGTGTGTGTGGACGCTGGTGTCTGTTTGTGTGTTTTGTGTGTGTGTTGCGTATAAACCGGTGATCGTCGTTCACGGGCTCTTCGATAGCTCAGCTGACTTCGTCCACCTACACCGATTCATCAACCTGGTAAACCATTAATCTGATGTGTGTTACCCATCGTTTACTCTGTTTTACCTATTATTGGCTACTGAAGAGTATCAAATGTGTATGTTTGCACAGGGTCAATATACACACACAATAACTCTTTAATGAAACGATTTGTTGAGTTACCATTGTTGCTCGCTTAGAATTGTTGCCATATCAGACATACCATTATTGGAACCCAGAATTAATAAAATGGCATATTATCGAGTAATTTATTGCTATAAATGGCGTTTTGTTGTTGTTTACTGTGACTGAAAATACATGTGCGATACAGACACACACTTCTTTCTTGCAGAGGACAGATTGTCTGTTGTCATGTATAATAACTGTGTGTGTGTGTGTGTGTGTGTGTGTGTGTGTTATGGTGACAGTCTCACCCGGGCACTAATGTCACTGTCCTGGACCTATTTGACCGCAGTGCCAGCCTGCAGCCCCTCTGGAAGCAGGTGGAGGGCTTCACAGAAGCCATATATCCCATCATGCAGAATGCAGCTGATGGTGTCCACTTGATCTGCTACTCACAAGGTTTGTACCCAACAAAATGGTCTGTGTAATGAAAAATTAATAGGCTTGCTTGCAGTGTGTTGTTAGGCACAAAAAGCAAGCACCACATGCTGTTTTGCAACATTAGAATTTACTATGGTTTCTCTGCCATTGAAAAAGACGCAACAAGGTATATGATAAAACTGGACAATTGAATAGAACCCCAGTTGTCATTGTTTTTATTTTTTTATTTATTTAATTTTCCGATATATTGACATTACTTTTATACATTTTACATTTAAAGCAGTCTAATTGAAATGCAGATGGCATCATGATTTGTAAAAGCTTTATGAGAAATTTGTTAACAAGTGCAGTTTGGGTTGTTCTTAATTGTCAGATGAATAATTGAATAAAATGCACAAAACAAAGATTAATTTAGTTTGAACTAAATATTTTTTTCTTTGTGATTTGAGTCAGAGGTGTTCGTTATTATATATAACACTAATGCAAGGCCATGTCTAATTGTGTCGCAGGTGGCTTGGTATGTCGAGGAATTCTGTCCACTCTCCCAGACCATAATGTACACTCTTTTATATCTCTGTCTGCTCCACAGGCAGGACAGTATGGAGGTAACCCACTTTTTAGTTCTGCTGAGGAACACATTTAAAACATGCTGACCTAGTTAACCGTAGAATTGAATGTTTTTGTGTTATGTGAATATTTGGAAATATTTACTTTTACAGTTCTGCTTAAGTTTCTTTTTTTTTAAATTAATTTTGTCTGTTTGCAGACACAGACTATTTGAAGTACCTGTTCCCTCAGTTTGTCAAATCCAACTTGTTTCATGTATGCTATACTGCAGTGGGCCAGAAAATATCAATCTGTAACTACTGGAATGGTGAGTATGGATTGATCATGCATGTCATATTTAAAGTAAGAGAGAGAGAGAGATATTACTACAATTTGCAAATGCTTTGTCTGTTATTTTTCAAATTCTAATGAGTTTATGTAAATGGAATTTCACTTGCATTGGTTATACTTGGTGCTTTGAACAAAACAATAAAAAAGGCTAATAAATTGCTTGAATTATTAGTAATATGTATATTAATTATGCAGCACATTGTGCTTTTTGTCAGCAATTGTCAACATTTTCTTGCTGCTTGTGTTTCTGACCAGATATACCTTTTTGTGTTAATGTGCCTAATTAGTAGCAGTTTCTATTGGATGTTTCAATATTGAACTTTGCTGTCATACAATGGCTAAATTAGTACAATAATATCACAAGATTTTAACTGGTGGTGCATATATGGGTCTTGGTGCTGTGGACTATTTTTAGGCATTGCATAATATCATTGCGTCTCAAGTTCCTTGATTATTACTCTACTACTTGTATGACACCTATACTTTGTATACTTACTAACCTTATCTGCCTAGAAAATATAGCATATTTCATTTTCCGTTGGTCTTAGTACACAATGTAATTACAGAAGTGTCAAGTTTAAGTAAGAAAATTATTGGAAATTCTAGTTTGTTTTTGAGCAAGATGCTAATGGTCTAGTCTGATTCTAATTCTATATGTATTTACACTGTTTTTATGTATATTTTTGTTTTTATGGATAGCACTTTGGTACTCATTGCGGTTGTTTGAAACTACTTTAAAAATAAAGCTGACTTGAATACAATGATCTGCTAAGCATAAAAGCTTTAGCCACAGAGCGGTTGGCTACATGAATTCTGAAATGTCAAAACTAAACTAACTAAATTTCTTTTCATTACTTATTTTCTATCCATGTACAGCTTTGTGCATTTGCATTCTATGTGCACATTTCTGGTATATTTAATTCAACTGCTCTGGTCATTTCAGTGGTGCATATTGAACTGTAAATTAGAGCTGGGCGATTTAGCCTAAAATCTAAATCTCAAATAATTTAACATTTTAATAGTTTCCAGGTCACTATGTGTTGCTGGTGGAAGAAAACATTTCTTCACTCGCTCCTCCAAAATACCACAAAGTGGTTCAATAATATTTAGATCTGGTGACTGTGCAGGTCATAAGAGATATTTAACCTCACTTTCATGTTTAGCAAACCACTCTGTCAGAAGATACATGATGTTTTTATGTTTTTTTCTTTAGACCCTCATCACAGAGACATGTACATCAACAGCAGTGACTATCTGGCCTTACTAAACAATGAAAGACCAAATCCCAACTCTACTGGTAAAGTTTTTAAAACTTCTTGAAATATCTGTGGTTTTGGGATCCAGATGTTTCTTAATTTTTCAGGGATTCATTTTTAATAACATTTCTGGTTTGTGATGTTTTTGTTTTACTTGAACAGCTTGGAAACAAAACTTTCTGCGTATTAAGAAGCTAGTACTGATTGGCGGCCCTGATGATGGGGTAATCACACCATGGCAGTCAAGGTCGGGTAAAATCATCTGTTAGCTTATTTATCTTTAAATCATATTCTCAAATGCTTGAAGCATGATGGTCAATTTCTTTTTTTTCTTGCAAAAGATTGTTCTAATGTTTAATATTCTTGATTTTCAGTCAGTTTGGTTTCTATGATGATAATGAGACTGTCGTTGAGATGAAAAACCAGAAAGTAAGCATAATTCCAATTAGCATTTTTTATAATTCCAGAGTGATGCCAACACTTGTGAAAAATACACAATGCAGTTCTTCTAACTTTGCTCTGTTTCACTATGGGAATCGCATTAAGCATGACCATCTACAGATGTTTCAATGACAGCTTGTCTGTTTTTGATAGACAGGTCGACCTTAAACTATTCTCCACCTTGCCTATATTACTCAGGTCGCTCCTTTACAGTATCATTCATGCTTTCTTTCCATAAGGGACCATAACAAGCTCTCTCAGCACATCCAGTATTACTGCTGCTTTTTACTGAGCTGTTTTTTGAGCAAACTACAATTAGACTCCGTTTAGACTACATTTACTATAATCTTCTATGTGAAGATTTGCTTTGACACAATCTACATTGTAAAAGCACTATAGAAATAGATTATTGAACTGAATAGTGTCCACATGACTGTAAGCTATATTAGTGGTTGCTTGCATCAACAAACAAGGAGACACCTGGGGTCCGTTCTTCGTACGTGGATTACTCAGTTAGCTGGATTTTGATATTGACGATTTGACACGATCCGGGATTGTTTCGTTCTTCAAAGCTGATCCGAGAGTTGTTGTCATAGCAAGAGTTCTGCTAGGTCAAACCTGATCAGGAGCAGGTTCAATTCATATTAATGGGATTAGATCGGCTAAGTTCAAGCAAAGATAATACAGAAAGTAGGTTCCGAATTCTGATATTTTCTTACAGTAGTAGTTATATACACTTGGGAAAATGGTACATATTTTTTAACTATATATATAAAGTTATAGTCATTAATAAAATAAATAAAGTTATAGATATTAATAAAACGTATGCAATCTGCACCCTCGAATTGAAAGTACAAAGACTGCCTCCTGGTGGTGCAAAGAGAAAACTTATTGATATGAACTTTTAGATCACTTTTGTACAAATTGTGTATAATAGAAATGCACAATATGTGACTATTTTTTTTTAAAGCAATAATACATTTATGCAGTCATAAACATGTTTTGATAGTTAATATGCCAGTGATTTGATGCTTCACAAAAGTTGCAGACGCCTTTACCAATATGAAAATGCTTTTGTAAACAACCAGTTATTCTTTACACCGATTAAAAAACGCCTACTATGATAAAGAAAATCTTTTCTAATTGTAGAACTAAATACATTGATTTGGATTGAAATACATGATGAATACTCTTGACACATGAAAGTGTAAAGCCTGCAGCTCTCAACAAATGTGGAAAGTTATTGCGTGTCATATTTAACAAGCCGTTTACTGCTAATTTGATGTAATTTTGCTCACATAGATAATTGAATATTAATCAGATGATGTCATTACGCTGCTGTGCCGTCAGCCAATCGTTGCATTGCTGATCATGCAACACATGCAGCGATCTCAGATCAGTTTATCCAGACATTCTAATCTGATTCGTGTACTTGTTTGAAGAACCAAATTAGCGAGAGATAAGTTATCAAGATTAAAAGATCCAGGATCTGCCAAATAATCTTGGATCATTTAAGCGAGGTACGAAGAACGGACCCATGGTCCCTTCATTTGCATCAGTTGACAAAGCAGCTAAAATTATGATGAGACACTAGGCTGTTTTTCATCAGTGCGACTTGTTTTCCAGGGCTGTTGAACAGGGGGTCAAATTTAATGTCTAGGGAAAACCCCATGTATGAGAAATAGAAAATGCATCCCTAACTGGTGAGGCAAGTATGGCAGCGGTATGGCCAGGCTGCCTCAGATCTCTTCTCCTTGCAGGAAGATTTAGTGCTCAGATATTTTTCTCTAAAAGAAGTTGAGTGCGGATGCTCTAGCCAACCCATGGCCATTCTTTTTTATGCATTCCCTCTTCTGAGCTTTATTTCTTCCACTCCAATCAGAGTGAGGGAAATGGGCTCATTACTGATACTGATTGCCCCGTGTTGGCCATCCAAGAACTGGGACTGTCTCATGGACTCATTCATTATGTTCAGTATAGGCACTGCAACAGCATCTAGGTCTACTCTCCACTAAGGGAAACCATTGTCTTGTCAGCAACTGTCTCTGGATTTTAGAGACAATAGCTCTAGCGTATAAATGTAGAGGTTTTCAATCACCTGGAGGTTTAAGAAACCACTCCACAAGGAGCATGGCGTCATTAAGGGTATTAATTCAAAATTAATACCCTTAAATTAATTCAATTTTTATAGACTGAATGTGTCTTAACCACCCATAGACAGAATATTAATGTTAAATTGATTATGCAGACTGGAACATGGTGTAACCCGGAATTGATTAACACCTCCCAAAAGAAAAGAATCACGTTTTTACGCAGCTGATGCCCTTCCAGCCACAACCCATCCCTGGGAAACATTCACACACACACACTCGTACACTACGGACAATTTAGCCTACCCAATTAATCTGTACCGCATGTCTTTGGACTGTGGGGAAAACCGGAGCACCCGGAGGAAACCCACGCGAACGCAAGGAGAACATGCAAACTTCACACAGAAACACCAACTGAGCCGAGGCTTGAACCAGCGACCTTCTTGTTGTGAGGCGGCAGCACTACCTATTGCTACACTGCTTCACCAGAATGATGGGTTACTTAACATAATTTCAGGTCGTGAAATTATGTTTGGCATTTCACCAACACTTCCTTCCTTGGATGGGAATGTGAGGAAAATACGTTGTAATGACATTGTAATGAGTCGACCTGAGTTATATAGGTGAGGCAAAGCCTAGTCCCAAAGGCAGTCCCATAGTGAAACACCTCACTCTGTTATCAAAGTAACCCATCCTTTGTTATACTGCGGGATTATTATAAAATGCTTTTAAAAGATTTGTACATAGTTTTACATTTCATATCATATAATGGCAATATTTGTCCTGATATTCACTTTCTTATACATTAAAGATATCACTGCATTTTCTTTCGTCCAGACAATTTTCTACACTAATCCATATTTTGATATAATGCAACTGTATCAATAATGACATTATTCACTGTTCATCTGTTGGATGTGTTGATTCAGTTCATTAATTGTAAAGTTTATTATAATGTTTGATTCAGCCATAGGCATCTCTACAGAGGAAAGTACTGTTTTATTGTGCTGGCAACTATCACACTGATCTCTTTGCCCACTGAAAGCTAATTATGGCCTACACTGTTACAAAATCTTTTGATTAACAAGTTTTATATTTCATGATTTACATGTATTTTCCTTTTTTGTTTACACTTATAAATTATATTATAGGTCTATAATCACTGGTCTGCCAACTTTTGACCTTGAATATTTAATGATTCAGTTTAACAAAGTGACTTTTAATTTACAATTTAGTAGTTTGTCCCATAATGCAATTCAAAAGTACAAATACATGAAGGAAAAACAAAGCACAAAATAAAGAAAACTGTCCATTTACAGAATTTACAGCGAGTAAAAACTGTCAAAAACACTGTTTTTTGGATGAGACATTAAACTTAGGTCCCCCTGCTTTGCTGGTTAAAAAAAAAGAAATCTCAGGATGTACTTTAAGAAAAGTAAATGGAATGTGACCCTGACATCCTCATGGCTTTGAAATTGTATTGTTCACCTGACAAAAGTAACAAACTTTGATTAGAGAAAACTGTGGACAAATTAATTGCATTAGGGATTGATGAATTTGTAAGTTTGGTGAGACAATCATGTTTAGAAAGGGTGTTGGTTCTTTTTAACTTCTACCATGTAAGAATTATTGAGGCTTTTAGGGAAACTTGCAATTTATCAAATGCTTTTTGTATTGTTTCCCAGATCTTAATTTAAATCCAGTCTAGGGTTTATAGTCTGCATCATTTGATTTCAGTATATAATATGCCATTGTAACCTTTATATGGACAGATGCTTGCTTACCAAACCATGCTCAATCAATTTTATTCAAAATGATCCTGGGAAATATATTACCTATTAACCGGGATTTGATACAAAATTTTTCGGTTCAGTTTTTTTGTCTTTTTGATGTTAGTTTGGGGTACATATTGAAGTGAAATACTAATAATAAAAACATTTTGTGAATATGGTATTTATCAACCTCATGCTTATGGCATGTTGTCCAGGTGTTTCTGATGGACTTGTTTGGACTGAAGACGTTGTCTGCTCGAGGGGATCTGGCTCTGTGTTCAGTGGAAGGCGTTGCGCATATCTTCTGGCACTCCAATGAAACGGTGTATAAAACCTGCATTGAAAAATGGCTTACATAGATTCTGACACAGTACATGTCTTTTTAATTTTTTAACTCATTCATACAAATGTTTGCACTTTTTTAACAGTATTTTAGCGCATTGCATCAGAACAGACATTTCTGTTACAGTGATTCTGCATCCATGGAAAACCCATAGTAGAGATGCAACATGTATTGTGATTACATGTTTACATTTATAAAAGTAAACTAAACATAATGAACAGCCATCAGTGCCTGAGGGAAACATTCTTCATTTTACAAAAGGAACTGGATCTTAGCTGCTGTTTTACTTTGCTTTTGATGTTTTTATTTCTATAATGTTTTATGTGGATTGTGCACTGCAGTAATATTTATGCCTTTCATTCAAAGGGACATGTTTTGTTCTGTCTTAAATCCAAGTACTGTGTTAGACTGAACGTAGAGACAGTGCAATGAGAAAGAAGGGAGATTACAATGGGCAAAAGGATTAGATTCTAAATGTGTTGCATTTGTTGTATATTACCTCTCAACCTTAGGCCCAACATTGTTTGTGTACCATAAAGGGATTTGTCTTTGAACAGTTAAACCTTTACGTTTTGTTACTTTGTTTAAAGCAAAGCTTTGTCTAACAAGTTATTCACATAGTTTTTTACATTTCTGCTATAAGAGTTTGATATTTTAAGCACAATATAATTTAAATGAATTTAGATTATGGTAAATCTATATAACTTCTAAGGCTAATGCGTGCTGCACAAAACCCATTCTTCCTTGGTTCTTGATATTGTACACTTATTTGTTTTAACTGTTTCATCAAAACACTAATAGTGTTAACGAATAGTTTCTTGTAAATACTGTGTTGGAAGTATTAAATATGTCAGTACATTCAGCTAAAACTTACTTTGTTTGGAACATTATACTCATTAAACATTGTCAGTTGGAAATGTTGTCAATGACTTAAGCTGCATGCATAATTATTGTTTTTAGTTAGCTTTCAGAATAACATTTTGATTTCAATGTGAAGAATGCTATTTTTTCAATGTTGGTAATGCAAATCTTTAATAAAATATTTTTTCAAATAAAACCATGTTTCAGAGGGTAGTGAGAGCTTCAATGAATATATATATATATATATATATATATATATATATATATATATATATATATGTGTGTGTATGTATATATATGTATATATATATATATATATGTATATATATATATATATATATATATATATTATATATATAATATATATATAATATATATATTATAATAATTAAAGCAACAATGTTAAAATGTCAATGTTTGTGGATATTGAAAATAAATTTCAAGATTATACAAGCAATCATGATTTTTTGTATTTCATGTTGGTATAATGTTTGGGAACAACTGTTCATTGAACATGTCCATTGATATGGACAAAAATATATAACGTTATACTTAAAGGTTGTTGAAGTTTTATCATTTTAAATTGTTCTCAAGAACTGTAAAAACATACTGTGAAAACAAAAGCATTTTTTCTGATACATCCAGTTCCATACTCAATTCCAGTCGGTGGCGGTAATGCACCAATGTTGCCAACCGCCTTTAATAAAACAACAGTAACAAAAAAAAAAAAAAAAAACAATAACATAATGATTATAATGTGATTGTGAAAAACATCTCTAATAAACTGCTTTATTTAATGAAAATTCTTCATACTTAGAACTCGGTCTAAAAGCAAATTCCAAAAACTGTACTTGGTGGTATTAGTATCTTAGATAAAAAATGTAATAGCTTCCATATCAGAAAATGTGTAGTTCAAAATAGTAGTTGTTTCTCGAAAGCCATTTTGAAATAGAGAGAATATTTTTCTTTACCTTTTATATTTGGTCAACATAAGTTTTTACTCCCAAATAAGGTAAAAGAAATTCATTTCAAAATATTACACAGGTACTAATTTACAAAATAATTAATTTTGTCCAATACATTATTCTTTTTTTAAATTGTAAAACTGGCTATGGTACACTCGATAATGCTTTGAAGTTGTTAATATTCTCGGGAAGTTTCACATACACAAGGCAAAAGTAATGTATATTACTTCCTCCTTTGATTTTTACTGTAAAGACAAAATTTTTTTTATAATTGTTTGACCTCAATCACAAGAAACAAGAAAGCTATAAAAACCTCGAAAAATATCTGTACAATCTAATAATTAAATATGATGAATCCCCTCATATATATGTTAATTGTTTTTTGGTACTTTATTGGCAGCAATGTATTATCTAATTTCAATTTTGCATTTATATCTTATTTTATTTAAAATGTTTATTAAATGTTTAGAATAATTTACTAATTAAATTTACTCTAACATTGCAGAAAACACATTATGTTTACCAATCAAACTAACAATAACCCTATCCTGCTTTTTTAAAAGATAAAAATGGAATATAAAGTGTACTTAAACGAAGAGGCACCAGTTCCAGCTGCCACAAAAAGGTAATAGACACAGAATAAAATAGGTTGCTCAAGTCAAAAAGACAGAGATTAGGGATAACAGCAACAAACGTTTGAAAAGAAAGAGGGATAGACGCCATTGAACTCATAAAATGCACAGACATACGTTTAATGTTTAACCTCAAGGACCAGTCTTGCAGTTTTTTTTTTTTTTTTTTTTTTTTGCTTCCAACCAAACAGATGGGAGTTGAAATACAATAGATAGCTGGATTGACATTTAAATAATAATAATAATAAAAAAAAACGTAAAAGTGTACAGCTTGTTTGTTTGCATGAATGCATAATTTGAATGGTTTAGAGCACAGGTGTCAAACTCAGTTCCAAAATGGCTGCAGCTCTGCACAGATTAGTTCCAACCCTAATTAAACACACCTGATCAAACTAATTGAGTCCTTCAGGCTTGTTTGAAACCTACAGGTAAGTGTGTTGGAGCAGGGTTGGAACTAAACTGTGCAGGGCTTCGGCCCTCCAGGAAATGAGTTTGACACCCCTGGTTTAGAGTAATGGTTGAGTTTTATAATTGCCAATAATCTATTTGTATATTTTTATTTATTTATTTATTTATTGTTTGTTTGTTGTATTGTTTATCTGTTAGAACACATATTGTATTGGTATCAACAGCAAGTGATAGAATTTCTTTCTTTCATTCCATTTATAGCAAATAACTCGTTCAAGTCCTGCAGGCATTATAAAATCCTGCAGGATTTACCACTTGCTTAATTCCATTGTAAAACCTGGAAGAAATTTCTGCACATATTGTTAATGTGTCCCACAGGATTTTATCATTCCTGCAAGACAGCAGCTATCCTGCAGGGGAAAAAAATCATTTAGGATTACTGTAAAAACTACTGCATGATTCTACAACCTGTAGGAATTGCCTGCACATATTGTAAATTTGTCCAGCAGTATATAATCATTTCTAAAGGATACCTGCAGGTTCCTGGAGAAAAAAACATGAAAATCCTGCAGGATTCCTGTAGGCTATTTTTGTAAGGGATGTATTTCCTGCATCACCAAAGAGCATCACTAAGTTTTGTATGATATTTACATATGCTATCAAATAATCCTGTATGCTTGTCAGTTATTTGCTTCAATAATAATAAAAAAATAGCAAAGAAGAAAACCTCGGCTCTGACGTATTTTCCGGTGTATACGAAGAAAGGAGCATGCGCGGAAACCGAATGGTCTTTTCGACTTGGTTCAGAGGAGCACGCGGTAAGTCGAGGTAGCTGAGCGTAGTAATAGCTAACATTTGCTGAAAAAGTCATTTATTTTACATTTTAAATGTATTGCACACATTAATTTACCATAGCTGTATGTTTAATCTGTTGGTTAGAGCTTTTTATACATTACGCAACGTTACAGTTGGCAAACTTCAAAAACAAGAAGCCTCGTGACTACTAAACATCTTTTTTTTTTTTTTATAATAGTGAGTGCTTCCCTCTTTCTTGTGCCATCGAAATTTTTGTACTTCTAGTTGAAATCTATGAATGGCCCAGTAATGAAATGGCAAATTTAAGTGCATTATTATTATTATTATGACCTTATTTGCTATTTATATCACTATGCAGTACCGCAGCAAACCAGTTGCAGTTGTCATCGTGGTTTATTTGTTTCAGATTATTTTGTTATTAATTGCTGTTTTGAGTCACGGCGCGGTTATTTATATGACCACTGAATCTGCATCGAGTCTAAAAGTATGCGGAACTAGCATATCATGAAGAGTCACAGTGTCTTTTTTTTTTTTTTTTTACATTTTTTTTTTTATAAGATTTTAAGAAATTTAATCTGTTGGCATGGATAACATGCAACTTGATTTATTGTAATTTTAAAGAAAAAAAGTTGGCTTTAGGCTCAAGTTTTTTTTGTGTGAATTGTTTTGAGTTTGGCAGTTGTAATAACAAAATACAGTTTGTTATTAAAGTCATTTAATAACTTTTTTTAGGTTAGTTTATTTTTAGAGCCATGAGTTTACAGAAGTTTATTCTGTAAATGTATATAATTTTTTCATGTTAAAATACCATTTCCTGAACAAATAGCAGTGTAGGCTTAATAGCAAGTTTCAACATTTATCTTAATTTTTAGTGATCGGTTCATCTGCTGCAAATTGTCGCCACATTGACTAAACCACTATTTAATAAAATACTGCAAATGTTACATCGTGGTTTGATTATCTTTACAACCAGAAAAGAAAAAAAGCGTGCAAACTTGAGTTTCTGCATGACAAATAGGATGCCACTTTTCACACTTTTAAAAGTGTGCATATAGCCAATTGAAGATAAAATCAACGATTCTGAGTTTTGTCAAGTGTGTACACTGCTGTGATTGAGTTTAGCTCCAACTAGCTTCAACACACCTGTCTGGAAGTTTCTAGTAAGCTTAATAAGAGTAAGATTAGCTGGTTTGGAGCTACAATATGCAGGACACTGGCTCTCCAGGAGAGCCACTAGGCATGGGCTGATAAGATTCTGACGGTATTATAACCTTGGATAAAAGTATTATGGTATTGTAATACAATAAACTGATCTAAAATATTTTCATTTTAAATGTCTGGGTAAAAATGTCCTTTTTCCCTTTTTCACACATTTTATTTTGAGAGACATTTACAACATTTTGGAGCAGTAAACTTGACAGTCTAAATGAATTATTGACTTCTGCTGTCTTCATTTGTTTCAAAAACGTTTGTTTTTACAGTTTGAAACGGCATCTTTTTTGCTGAAGATATTGTTGTCCTAATAAAAAACAAAAAATAAAGCGAAAAAATGTACACACCTTAGTAACGGTATTTCAGAAAGTTGACTGTTTTAAAACCTTGACATTTCCAAACCGAGGTATACCTTGAAACCGGTTATTGTCCCAAGCCTATTTGGCACCCCTACTCCAATAAAATAAGGTTTCTAGTTTGGGTTTAGACTTTTCACTAATTAAAATACTGGTTTTGAATTAAATTTCCCTTAAATTGCTAGTAGATTTCGCGATTACTTATGGCTAGCAATAAGATTCGAAATACTAAAACTGATTAGTATTTTATTTTAATAATTTATAATATTAAATATTAGATTTTTTTTGGTCATTCAACATTTTGTACCTGGTTAAGTGTTGTTTCTCCAGTTTCTTTTCTTATTAGAAAATTTCAAGATTTTTGTTTTGGTACTGATTGGTTTTCACATGGATAACACTCTCCTGCTCCTTGTTTAGGATTGCACCCCTGTTCCAGTATGGCTGCTATCATCCCCATTTTGATCGTCACTGTAGTGTCAAATGTTTCTGGAATGCTCGCTATACCATTGTGGGGACATGACAAACTCTGTTGCACAACTCTGGCAGCTGAGGACGATTTGAGCTTGTGGGAGTGGTGAGTATTGACAGGCTGAAGAATATTCATTTTGTATTGTTTACATAGTACATCAGTGCTTTTTTTTTTTTCTCTTCTTCCCTGGTTGGGTTTTAAAGAAGTGTGAGACTAGAGTCACATCCTGATGTTACTTGTTGTCTTGGTGTGCTATAGTACTCACAGAATAAATTCTGTGCTTATTCGTTGGCTGCTGCTTTCCATTGCCCAGCCAGTCACCAGCTCAGAAACATGCCATTTATTTTGTACTTTTTTATGCTTAGTTTCTGAGATTGTAAATAAACAGGCTTATATATATATATATATATATATATATATATATATATATATATATATATATATATATATATATATATATATATATATATATATATATATATATATATATAATGGATGTTTGTACTTTCCATTATCATTTGTCATGTGCCTAGTTAAGAGTTTCACCGTGTTTTAAAAGATCTTTTGTTTTAAAAGATTACTTCTAGCTCTTTTGAACTGACTGTTCTACAAATTGTTCACTTTCTCTTATTTAAGACAAACTGTGCGACCCTGATATAGCCACCTGATGGCTGTGAGCTCCCTTCAGGAAAGGTGGGTACATTGACAGCCTAAGTTAATTTGATTTTGTGTTATGATGATTACATGTTCCATGAATGTTTCTCACGTTTACATAAATTTGAAACTAAGAGTGAGACTAGAGTCACATCCTGATGTTGCTCATCATTTTGGTGTGCTATAGTTCTCACAGAATGATATCTCTGCTTATTCATTGGCTGCTGCTTTCCATTGCTAGGCCAATCACCAGCTCAGAAACATCCCAGATAACGTGTACTTGCTCTGTACAAACTTTTCCAGATTTCAAATAGAAAAGTTTTGGGGCACCAGTGTGTTGACATTATTACAAAAATGACTGGCTTTAAATGGTCTTCCTTTGTAAAGTTTACTAGCAATTTAGTAATTATAAAAATGACAATTATGGCTAAATTACATTTGTGTTGGAAATTTTTTATTTTTTTTTTTAAACTAGTTATGTCTAATAATTTTCATTTTGATGCCATTTTTTTTTGTTTGTCAAATGTTTAGAGACTAAACGATAAATAACAATAAATGTGAGTGGAATGCAGTGTTTGACACAAAGCCTACTAAAATGGGTTCACAGGCAGGTCGAAGGCCACAGCAAATGGATTCATATACTTGCAAACAGTCTTTAAGAGAAGCACCGCCACATATTTACATTGTGTACTATTAGCCATGGACAGACGCTGAATGGTGCTGCCAGTGTATGTGCACTCATAGAAATGGTGTAGCACATTGACCATGGCTTCTCGCCCAATATGTGACCCCCTCTGGGTTTTTAAAATGACTCAAAGTAATAATACAGGGGCAGATACATCTGTACCAGCTAGGCTGTTCTACTCTAGTGTATTCAAATGGCTAGTGATGTTCTCCTGTCTGACTCCCTTAAATGAGAATCTGATTCCGTAGTCACAGCCCAAAGGTAGCTCAAAAGTGTTTAAGAACCTAAATGACCTCCCTAAATATTAGCTTATGTGAGCTGGTTTAAGGGTGCTTTCACACCTACACTTTTGTTTCGGAATGTATCTCGTTTGCCCAATTAGTGCGGTTTGTTTGGCATATGTGAACAGGGCAATCGCGCTCTGTTCCGCACCAAAGTAATCGCTCTGAGATCGCTTGAATGAGGTGGTCTCGGCTCGATTGAAACAAACCCTGGAGCGTTTCGATTGCAGTGAGAAGGCGATCTGATCCGAGCGCAGTTGTATCACAGTGTTTTATGGATAAGTAATAGGCTTACGGCTATATGAAGAGAGAATTATGAGTAGGGCAGGAAGTTTCACGAGTCTCCGGATGCCCGCAAACGAGTGATGATCTCCCGGTAATCTCGCGTCTCCCTCCCGGTCCTCAAATAGGCATCGTCACGCACCTTTCTCACACCTCCCCACCGCATCTCTCCTCAGACACGTCGCGCGCGCACCGTCAATCACCACCAAACCACCACCTCTCCTGACAGCTGAGCGGGATGCTGCAAAATAAACCCTGACACTCTGACCAATGTGAGGAGAGTTTACTCGCATGTGACTTGTTTTAGCTCTTTTGGTCCGATTAGAAACTTAGCAGTGTGAAAGCGAACTGCTCCAAGAGCAAAGAGCAACAATGTAACAATTGTAATCTCTGTTTCGGAACAACTGAATCGATTCACAGGTGTGAAAGCACCCTTAAAGGGCCATGAAACCCCCTCGTTTCAGCAGGGTGTTTTCACACCTCCACTTTGGAAAAAGTCAGAAAAGTGGGGGTGTCCAGCTCTGTTTAGGGGGGAGTGTCGGAGGAACTAAAGTGGGAGGGTGTGGGAGTGTCTATTTGGGCACGCGCGAGTTTCAGTCAAAATACACACACAGGAGAAAGAGATGGTGTTTAACCTACATGGACATCTGTAGTGGAATTATTTGCCAAATTATTAACTGGTGGACTTTAACTGCAGTTTGGCTCTTTCATTCAGGGAATTCATTCATGTCCCTCGCGACAAACGCGATATTTGATTCGAGGATCTGCTCTAAGCGTGTATTTTTCATGCAATGTTTGATACCGCACGGCGAATGACAGAAAAAAACTCCGCATTTCCCGGAAACTTAGACGCACACGGCAGGTAACGTCAGAAAGCCGCGTGTGTTATTCCGGTCACAAAATGCGGTGCTAACATGTTAGCCCTCAGTGCAATAGTTAACTTAATTCGAAACGAACAAACTGAATAAACAAAGAGCACTGGTCGCTCACTTACCAAATCTGTAGAGACAGAACAATCACCAGCAACTAGAGCCGCGTCTGAAGAGAAGACTACATCCGGAATCCGGATCTCAGCGTTTGCAGATGAGAACAGCTCTCAGGTAAACAATAATCCCCCTTAGACACGTAAGTTATTGTTGTCGCGCGTCGCGTACACTGTTAATCCACACGTGAGTCTGAGCTCTCACAGAGAGAAAATGAAAACGAAACTTAACTGCAGCAAAATTGAAAAGCAACACTTCAAGCTTGTTTTGCCAACACAACGTGGCGTCTCTGTGGTGTAAAGACGGTGACACTAATGAATATTAATGAAGTTGCACAATAGAGCGCGCTGATTGGTTTGAACCAAGGCTTACTCATGCATTAATGCATCACACTGTAAGACGTAATAAGGCACACTCTGGCACAGACGCCCAGTCTGCACGCTGGAATACACACTATTATGTCATGACCGTGACGCAGCTTCAAAAATTCGTTTCAAACAGGAAGTACGAATTTGCTTGAAATAACGCAAAAACAACCAATTTACACTTTTTAGTGAAATATAGGTGTCCTAATAGTGTTTTTAGCAGTGTGGGACACATATACGACTGTCAATAGCTCAAAAAATGTGTTTTGGTGTTTCGTGACCCTTTAAACTGCTGAAATGAACTCAAAGGATTGGTTTCTGCCAAATTTTCTTTGAAATTAGGATATTTCAGTTAATTTTTGTTTGAAGTACACCAGTTGCATACTAGTTTACTGGTTATTTGTGTCTTATGTATTGTTGCTGCTTGACTCCCTGCAGATGCAGAATGAATCATTTCAGTTGAGGAGTCTGAACATGGTGTCAAACAAAAGCTAAAGAGATATAGGTAAATATTTCCTTTTCATTACACTTGTGTGTGAGAAGCGAGACTAGAGTCACATTCTGATGTTGCTTGTTGTCTTTGTGTGCTATAGTACTCGCAGAATAATCTCTGTACTTATTCATTGGCTGCTGCTTTCCATTGCCCAGCCAATCACCAGCTCAGAGACATGCCACATAATGTGTACTCTTTCCTTGTACAAGCTTTTTCAGATTTCTAATGTAAAGGTTTTCTAGCAGCAGCTTGTTCTAGTTTTGCCTTTTTACCCACTCAAAAAATGGCTGGCTTTTAGTGGTCGTCAATTGTGAAATTTACTAGCAATTTAAGTTACAAATAAATTACATTTTTGTTGGAAAATTTTAGTTTTGTTTGATATAATTTGTATCTTAATTCTGATGCACTTTTTTTGCTGCTCAATTATTAATAGAATAAACAAGATCGTATAAATATGAGTGGAATGAAGTGCGTTTGAATTAGTGATGGGAAGTTCGGATCATTTTACTGACTCTGATCTATGAGTCTCGTTCATCAAGATGAACAATTCTTTTTTTCGAGTCATTTCATTCATTTGGTTCAATTTGCCAAAATATTATTAAAATATTATGAATTGCTTCCAAGCACATCTACAACTAACCCAAAAGGTTGACTGCACTACAAATATGTCATAACTAGAATACTATAAGAAGGAGAAAATAATAATTCAATGTTTATCTGCTCTTTTGTCTATGAAGGCATGTTGTCTCTTTGCTCAGTTCACCTCTTTATATCTTTAAATGTCAGGGGTTCATTCACGTTACACTGACAGTCACATATGTGACAATGACTCAGACCCGATAGAGGACTCGAGACGAGCGGATCAATTCTTTTTCCGGCTCTAAACGCATATGATTGGCTTCCGCCAATGTGATGAAGACTTAAAATTAATGATACAACCTGCACAAATGTGCGCACGCGCGGATGAACGAATCACTCCCTGAGAGGACTTGTAGTTCCCTAGTCATATTGAAGATTCGTTCAAAATGAACGAATCGTTCATGAACAACCCATCACTAGTTTGAATCAAAGCCAACTCGCATGCAATCTAAGCCAGGTCAGAGGCCACAGCAAATTGCTTGATATACTGGCAAACAGCCTTCACGAACAGCACTGCCATGTTTACAATAGCTGCGTTTTCACTATCGTGCCTAAAGCTAGCGAGCCAAGGCCAGTCACGTTTCCACTGTCACTTCCAGGGCCAAATCAGGGCTTTCTTGGGGCCAGCGGCCGGCCTTTTTCGGCCCGCCGAATACCTTGGGCCAAAGAGGGCCAGCCGGGGCTTCGGGCGGAGTGAAAGGAGAGGCGGGCAGTTTTCCAATCGCACATGAGTACATGCGCCAAACACATAAGCAAATAAATAAGGAAAAGAAAACATCTGGAACAAATTATACGCTGGGGTCTTTTTGTGTATGAACGCCCTAATGTTTATCTTTTAAATTCAAGGCTGTTGCATAAAATCATAAAGTAGTTTTAATTTATAAGTGACTTTGCTGCAACCTCCTGTTTCAATAACGCATAATAATCTTTACACCATATTAAAGACACAGCAGCCAGTAAAGGTTTTCGAGAGTTTTTGTCAAGTTTAACAGGTGTGTTTGTGCGCGTTTAGATGCCTGTATGTGTATGTGAGACAGAGGAAAAGAGCGCTCCCTTCATAGCTCTGTTGATGCCGCGAGCGGCTTTTTTCTTTTATTTTTTTTATTGTTTTTATTTATTTTGGAGATAATACACAATATGAATACAACAGACAAACTTTACAAATTTCGTGTCCAGACTCAAAACAATAGTATCATATCTAGATAAATAGTAATAATAGTATCATATCTAGATAAAATGGCCTAGCTATATTGAAATAATTAAAAAAATTACAAATATCAGATATAATAAAATCATATAAATAAATAAACCAATATAAAACTAACAAAAGCTAGCTATAACAATTAGGTTCTATAACAAACTGCCATTTTAAACTTAATATTAAAAAGCCATATTAAATAATTTTTCAAAAGCCTCTCTCTGGAAAAAAAAAAAAAGATTTTAGATATTTTCTAAAAACAAACACCGGAAAATGTTTTAAATATTATTTATAAAGTATTTGGATACGATGATATTAATCATCATGCAAACAGCATTTTCGGGGTGAGTTAAAGTAAAAATTGGCGACTTTTTTTTTTTTTGTTTGTTTTTTTTTTTGTTTTGTTTTTTATTTTATCTGTCTGCAGCTGGGCAGCACTTTTTTTGACGCATCAAGGAAAACTGCAAGTTCAAAATGTTTTCTGTGTCCCCAAACAAGTGTGTATGTTTTTATATGACGTGGTAAAATTAAAAAGGAAATTTTAAATGCATAAAGAGCTTTATTAGTGCATAGCTGCTGAGCGCAACGAAATATAGTCTATATTTTATTATGTGCTGCTCTTATGGTCTGAAACACTGAACACTTTCCTTTACTTAAGCTATAATAAGCAACATCTTTAAATAAAGGGAATCACCTATTAAGTGTCAAAGCCTATAGGGAAAAGTTTGTTTCAGTTCCCTCCGGAGCATTTGGGATGAATGTTGGACAGCGTTTGTCTAACTGAGGATGTTATAAAATACATTTTATATCGAGTTATTAACAGAATTTTATATATGTGGTTTTATATTATGGATGTGTGCGCTTCATGCGCTGGGTCCCTCCGTTAGTGGCGAGACCGCTGGATTTTGATGCCAACAGTCTGTCGGCGAGTAAATAAATATGATGAATGAGAACACACAGGTCTGTGCGTATAGACATACATTGTACTGCTGTACATTAAGGTGTCATTTGTTTGTTTTGGCTGTCCTAATTTTAATAATTTCGGGATGATGTGGTGTGTTTTATCTGCCTGATTCCCGCTGAAGTGGGTGGATTGAGTGACGTTTGATTCGGGGGATGTTCTGGGGTCTGGGTTTGCGTGACGCACTGCGAGCTACTAGCCCGACAGTGGAAACGCCACATGTTTTCGGGCTCTCTGCTCAACCTCCCGGGCGATTGGCCCGGCCTGGCCCGATAAAAGCCCTGGCTCGCACTGGCCCTATAGTGGAAATTTGGCTATTGTGCACTATTTACCATGGACAGACACTGAATGGCTCAGACGATGTATGTACTCCCCAAAGCACATTGAGTTGGCCTTCCACCCCCCACTCTCCTCCTGAGTTTTTAAAATTTCTATGTGAGCCACAATACATGTGCTGCAGATACATGACTAGTGGTGGTTTGAATGGCGCTCTCTTGTCTGACCTTCTTGAATAAGAAACTAATCAAGGGAAACAAGTCCCACTGTGTGGATGGTGTTGTTCCAGAACGCACCCACCAACTGTGTGATGGTCATGAACCAATGATAGCTCAAAGGTGTTAAGCCAAATAAAACTTCCCCAAAAGTTTGCTTTTTTGAGCCATTTTGAACCGCTGAAACTCAAAGAATTGTTTTTTTGCCAGATTTTCTGTGAAATTAAGATATTTCAGTTTGTTCTAAATTTTTGTTTGAAGTACACTGGGGCCTTTACTTTTGCATACGAGGTTTGCTAGTTATTTAGGTCTAATGTAATGTTGCTGCTCCATACAGATGCAGAATGAATCTTTCCAGTAGAGGAGTCTGAACGTAGTGTTTACACACACCGTAAAGAGATTGAGGTAAATATTTCTTTTTTTTTGTTGCACTTTACATAAGAAGCGAGACTAGAGTCACATCCTGACGTTGCTCGTTGTCTTGGTGTGCTATAGTACTCGCAGAATAACCTCTCTGCTTATTCATTGGCTGCTGCTTTCCATTGCCCAGCCAATCACCAGCTCTGAAACATGCTAGATTTATGTAACCCTTCATGTACAAACCTTTTCAGATTTGATGCAGTTGGTTGAACCGCCATAAAGTTTTGAGTTAAAGTTTTGTTTTTATTCATATTTGACTTTTTTGCATGTTTAGACCTGTCACATGATTCTTCAGAAATTTTAATTTTCTGCAATAAAAAAACTGACTATTTTAATACTTTTTTTTTTTTTTTTTGCAATCAAAATGGTTGAGGTCATTATAAAATAATCAAATTTTAAGGTCTAGTAGTGTCTGCACTCCATTCAAAAACAACCTCAAATATATTGTCAGACATTCTGTGAAACCATCCAAAATATCTTTGGGTGACAAGTCCACCGTTGCCTCTTAGAAGAAGGCCAGGTTGATCTTTGCGTGACATTGTTACTGTCTGTCAGCAGCAGATTGGCATGCTGCATGTGAACGTGTTGATGTATCCATCTGTGCACATAATTTGCAGATGTATAAATTGACGTGTATTGTTTGGACTGCCTATTTTAAATTATTTTTTAAATTTTTTTTAAATGAATTTAATTTGGATAATTTTATGTTAGACAGTACTTTTGCAATGTGATGAAGACTTTTTCAATCAGCACAACAAAATGTTTCTGAATGCTATCACCTATTCCAGATACTTGCTTTTTTAGCAGTTGGGCATTTTAAAGGTGCAGTGAATATGTATTAAATAGTGTTTTTTCCAAATAAAGGGACACAAGCTGCACTTTTAAAAGCAAAGCAATTTCATTTATTTTAATACAATAAGTGCACTAGGTTTTATTTTACTGTAATGCAAAAAAATTAGCATATAAAACATTTCTCTAAAATGTTGAGAGGGTGCTCGCTGCAGAGCTGAGCTCCAGCGAGGGGGAGCATGAGCTCTCGCTCTGCCTCCTGTAAGCTGTTTTAATGCGTACACCAACCCCACCCTTAACCCTACCCCCAGTGACATCACTCGTAGAAGAAGTGCAAAAAAGGTGGAGCTCAAGCTCCCCCCTCGCTGGAGCTCAGCTCGCCCAAATGGCTCTGCAGCGAGCACCACTTGAAAATGTTTGCACTTACCCAAGTCGCATACTAAGTAAAACATTTTTAAATATCAAATCAATGCATACAAAAAAAGTGTATATATTTGATTAGTTAATAGGAAATAAAATGGCTTTAAAACTGCATGGATTAAGGTTCTCTGTTGCCACGATGGATTTATGTTAATTGCAGCAAGTCAATTAACTGTTGCCATTTAATCTAATTGTAACTGATTTCCGTTAATTGCTGGGTTCCTGCCTGTCCTTGTAAGTAATTTATTTTAGCTTGATCAGATTTTGAAATAAGGATGTGTTTTGTTGTCCGCCTGCTTTTTGGGATGTGATCAAAGCCTGAAGTGGAGCAAAAGCACATTGTTTTTTCTACCAAGAATTTAGTGTCATTTCTGGTTTTTCCATTCCCGCTCATGGGACAAACTCGCTCTGTCCATTCCCTTGTAAAAGTAATTTCATTTATTTTCGATTACATGAACGTCTAAACGTCTATAATACTATATTTGTTAATTTAGGAACGATTCATCATGTTCAATAATTAAAATTGGACATATCGGTGTATGACGGTGTGCATCTTCTGTTAATGGTGTTCTGTGTAAGCTTTTGAATCGACTAATGCATAAAAATACCACTTTTTTGCAGATATATTAAACTGGTTTGTTAATATACTTATTTAAAAATGGCTATTAAAATGCTGGCTATTAACTGGTTATGTGGTTTAAAACCATCTCATTAAATTTTTTTTTTTTTTTTTTTTTTTTTTTTTTTTTTTTAAAGAATGTTACCTGAATTATAAATTTTTCATTTTAATCCATGAAACTGACTTTAAGTTTTTCCCCCCTGTCGTTTCTGTAAGGCTCTATCCTATTTAGGGACGCATGACAATCTCTGTACAACCCTGATAAAAGCAGCTCATTACAAGAAAGGTGAGCGCATTGACAGGCTGAGGAATGTTTATATTCTACTATACGTTGTGCATGATGTTTCAAATTTTTCATGTTGCTCTTCACTTTATGTGCTGTAGTTCTAGGAGAAAATCACTGCTTATTCATTGCCTGCTACTTTGATTCATTGTAGGGCTGTCCCATCAACTAAGCAAGCTAAAGGTGACTGGAAAGGCACCAAAACTCCACCAATTGACAGAAATTGAGAAGAAACTTGGGACGAGTTCTCCTTTGGCTTAATAAATGAAGAGTCGGAGCTGAAGTTGTCAAGTGGAAGATTGGCTTTGGTGTTCTTCTGCATAAATGAATAAATGAATTGATATGCATTGCACTTTGGTTTGCAAGTCAATGAACAGATACATTTCAAAAACAGACATGTAGGAGGATTTAGAATGGATGAAAATAACCTAAATAAAAGATTGATAAAGCTCAATAATGGCTTGAGGAATTGTTTTGGTGAACACTTTCTCACTTTCTGTGAATGGAGGCTAACATTTTGTACAGTTTATCTGCGGGGTCAGAAGCTCAACTTTAGGCCTTGTCTTAACTTAAGTCTTGTAGGTCTTAAAGGAAATATAAGACTCGTTTAAAATGATTTATGTAAAGCTACCCAATCAATCCAACACGTCTAATCACCCAAAAAAACCTTTGACCAAATTATTAATTACTAATAACAGTCTGTGTATTTTTAATTTTTATTATTATTTTTAATTTTAATGTTCTGGAGGGGGAAAAGTGTAAAACTAAGGTCTGCTTGTTTTGTCGCATTTAAAAAATGTCCAACAAATGAGTTTCTTTCTGCTGGGCAAGTAATTGAACGTAATTCCTTTAGCATTTAACCCTTAAGAAGTCTAATTTTTTTTTTCTTCACGGTCTTAGTCTTAATGTCTTAAATATAATTTGGTAAAATCTGCAGCAACCTTGTTTGTAATTATTTATTGTAGACCAAGCCTACTTATACAGAGAATTATTCATTGGTATTCTCACATATTGAATTGCATTTTTTCAAAATGGTACATGCTGGAGATATGCCATCACTCTACATTGTGTATATGTCATGATGTTAACATTTAAGATGGTTGATGAGAGAAAATGGCACTATCAAACAGCTGACAAGTCTAAAGGTGATGGCAAAAACAAAATGGAAAGGGAATTTATTCATCCTTCCTTGTGTTGAGAATGCAAAGTCAATGTGTTTTATTTAACCCAGGCTCATTGAAGATATATCTATAGAAGGCTTATCTCATTCTCACGCTGTAGATGCTCTGTTTAACTGTTTTCTTGCTAGTGAAATGCTCAGTTTTTCCACTCACAAAGTCCGTCATGTAAATAGCCAATGCACTATGGCACGATGCAACAGACTCTTAAAGAGAATGGGAGATGAGACTCTGGTTTATTCTCAAAACACACCTATAACTCATTAGGAAAATAAGCTCAACCCTTTTAGACCATGCGCCAAGGGGCAAAGCGGATTTTTCTGTCCTTATATTAGCAAAAGTGGATTCTGACATGCCCTTAATGCGTTTGCACCCTGCGCTTTGCTCATGGATCGTCAAAATAGAGCCCTATGTGTTTGAGTGTCCTGAGATGTGTGCAATCCACTACTATTTAATACGCCTCTAAAAATACTTAGGAAGTAGAAGGTTGGTTACGAGAGGAAAGGCAGAGAGAAGACTGATGTGAATTTTCCCCCAAAATGACCTGTAATTTGTTTTGCACTAAACAAAGCTTTTCAAAGTAGTTTAAATAATGTTTTGAATTTTTAATGCAAACATCTTGATCCTACGCTTGTAAAAGTCAGATCTTGAAGTCTATGAGGGAAAACTCAAATCAAATTCAAAAGTCCAGCCAGACACGCATAATTTGAAAAGTAAAATAGTAAAGCCACAAATTAAGGAGAGGAAGACCATTATGCAATTTTGCATGGTACACTGAACAATGGACTTTAGGATGCGTGAATTAATAGGGAGGAAGACAAAGGGAGCAAGGGAAATAAATTTATCTTAGTTAATTATAGTGATGTAATGTAACTAACTACAAATACTCAAAACACTGTAATTGAGTGTTTTTTTTTTCTCTTTTGTATTTAACTAATTGTATTTTACTAAGCAGTTTTAAAAACGTGTACTTTTACTTTTCCTTGAGTACATTTTTAATGCAGTATCGGTACTTTTACTCCACTACTTTCCTTCAACCTGCAGTCACTACTTTATTTTTTCCTGTCTATGGGGATTAGAAAAGTCATTCTTGTGATTCCTGTCCAATCAAATCGCACATAGAAGGTAAATTGCATCATAATTGAACTACCTCAAGACATTGGTGATTTATAATTTCAGCAAACTCTTTGGAAGCAATAAAAGTGTTCAAGAAAATGTTTAAAATCTTAACACGTAATGACCCAGAGACTGTTTAGATGCATTTCACTGATGAAAAAATGACAGATGTTTACTGTATGATGACTGAAATGGCCTTAAACAACCAGCACGAGACTTCAACATGATGTTGTACCCTAACATCACGGGGACTTGGCATTTTGTTTGGAAATTAAAATCGGGTTGATGTCAGAACTCAACGTCAGGCCAACCTCAGCGTCCAATGTCCAACCTAAAACCAACCAAATATCAACATTAAATGATGTTACAGATTAGTGTTGTGTGGACGTTACCACTATGACATCTATTAGATGTTGGATTTTGGTTGCCATAACTGTTGAATAAATGTCTATTTTATTTATAGTATGGTGCCATTAAATATGCTTTATTCTAATTTACTTTATATCCAGACACAATGCTAAAGAAATGGAGCAATAACAAATCCTCTAGTAGAGAAATACTTCAGCAGTTGTATGATATTTAAAAGCTTAATTCCAAATCTAGAACAGCCACTTGTTGTATGGACACTGTCAATGTTGTCACTGCCAGCACATATTATCTGATGCTAGATCAGGGGTGTCCAAACTCGGTCCTGGAGGGCCGGTGTCCTGCATAGTTTAGCTTCAACTTGCTTCAACACACCTGCCCGGAAGTTTAGTATACCTAGAAAGAGCTTGATTAGCTGGTTCAAGTGTGTTTAATTGGGGTTGTAACTAAAACTTGCAGGACACTGGCCCCCCCCAGGACCGAGTTTGGACACACCTGTGCTAGATAGTTCAATATTAAAGTGCGGTCATTTTAGTTGACATAATTTGGCATGAATAGTAATGATACAAAAGGACTGATAACTTATCCGAAATCAGGCAGAATGTCAATAGTAGTGTATTTGACCAAGGAGGGATCAACCAACATTTAACCTTTTAAATCTATGAAGAGCAATTGACGATGGTGTTGCTACAATAGGGTTGATGGAAAAGCATCCAACTCTGGCTGGACATGAATTTTGAAGCCTACACCAATAATTATTTGATAATCAGTGAAATAAATTAGGGTTCTAGAAAAATTGTCTAAAAATGTATCTTATGCGTTTACTGTGTCCACATTAATCTCTTATGTAGAATTGAGACATCTTTAAATTGACTTTTTTTCTTAATTGCTATTACGCACTACTGATTCAGATCGCCTAATTCTCCAAAGCATTATGCAGCATGCACTGGGGTGGTTTGTTGTCGAGTGTGACGCGGCTTGTGTTTTGTTCACGAGTGAGGGAAAGATGAAACGTGAGATTGACAGGCAGATTGGTGCAGCAGCAGTAGTAAGGCGGTTGATGTACTGGTCCATTGTGGGAAAGGAGTTAAGCCGAAAGTCAAAGCTCTATTTACCGGTTTATCTACGTTCCTACTCTTACCTATGGTCATGAGTATTGGGTCATAACCGAAAGGACAAGATCTCGGATATAAGCAGCTGAAATGAGTTTCCCTCGCAGAGTAGCAGGGCGCATCCTTATGGATAGGGTGAGAAGCTCAATCACCCAGGAGGAGCTTGGAGTAGAGCCGCTGCTCCTCCACATCGAATAAAGTCAGCTGGGGTGGTTCAGGCATCTGTTTTGGATGCTTCCTGCAAGCCTACCCAAGGAGGAGTTCCAGGTGTGCGCACACACACACAAACTTTTTCGCATAGGTTTAACCACACTCATTTAGAAAACACAAACAAATGATAAAATTAACGCACACATGGGTTGGACAACGAAACTGAAATTCCTGGTTTTAGACCACATTAATTCTTTAGTATGGCATAGGGCCTACTTTTGCAGCAAATACAGAATCAAATCATCTTGGGAATAACAAATACAAGTCCTGCACAGTAGGCAGAGGGCTTTTGAAATATTCTTTTGGGAAAATAGTGGCTAGGTCACTACATGACGCTGGTGAAGGATGTTTCCTGACAAAAACCCCAAAGTGGCCCAATAAAATTTAGATTTGGTGACTATGCAGGCCATAAGAGGTGGCCTTCTATGATCTATGTTGAACTTCACTTTTATGTTCATCAGTTTAATTTCATCTTGATACACAACATCCCTTTGACATCTTCCTCTTGCATTCACAGTTACTCCTGTTGGATGTGGTTTGTCCTTGTTTTATGCTGACATTACTCTGGGTACTGTATCTTTTGATACATCACTTGCTGTGTTGGTCACATAACATCAACTTAGAATTATAAGGTTCATGACATTTTTGTCAAAATTGAGATCTTATTAAATGACAACTTATATTATGGGATGTTTTTATAAGTTGTTTATGTTTTAAGACTTTTTATTTAAAAAAAAAACAAATTTTACACACAGTTTGCTAATGAATGCAAAAACTTTAAAGCTCAATATTTCAAAAACATTCGGAACGCAGACAGAACCTTATTATTCCAAGATGACAATATGTGCCAGTGAGATGTGAATTATTAATTTGACCTCTTTGAAATTCTGATATGTCACTAATGTTTTGTGCATTGCAATATTTTAAGTAAAACTGCTATTACTCTGCACATCTCAACAATAAGAACAGAGTGTGAAGGTTTACTTAGTAATCAATGAAGATTGGCCATCAGGTTTGTTGAATTTAGCCATAAACCCCTAGACACTAAATTGGCCAGTGTTTCAGTTCCATTGTCCAACCCCTGTATATAGATACATACACATACATACATACACAGTGGACATTTTAAGTGAGTTTTTTACAGCATAGCAATAGATGCATCTTTTCCGTGCAAAAATTCCAAGCGAGAATGCTATGCTTGTGAATATTAGGCATGAGCTGGTGCATTTCTGACGGTTTGTTGACCTTGGATAAAAATATCACGTTTCACAGTATTGTGATTACTGCTGTAAAGAAGTTCTTTTTAAAATGTCTGGGTAAAAAAAAAAAGTTTTTCCCCATTGAACAAAATACATTTTATTTTAGGAAATATAATTTTTATCTATATGGGATCTTGGGATGCTTGTCCAGCCTTAGATGGTTTGTCTGAATATGCGCAGTTTTTTTGTACAAATAAAATTATTTCTTAGCTCTGACTTCCTCCTGCATATACTTGGGTAAATATATTATACCGTATGCCTTAACTGAAAAATTTGTATTCAGGTGAATTTAAAATACATTATTGAACAATTAGTACTACACTAGGAAAATCATTAGCAGGAGGCAGGCTTAATGTGTACATCATCTTCTTCATCTTAAAAGTTCTACATGACAGATTTACTGTTTGTATAATACTGTACGGTATCTGTAAATGCATATAAACCATCATGAGAGTTAACTGAGATCCTCGTCCAGCTAATCACCATACAAGTTTCTTCATTTATAATTTTTTTTTTTACCTGACCTCGGATAAATTTTTAGGAGTTTGTAGTTATTTAAATGAGACAAATGTAAAAGTAACAGACTTATAATAGACTATCAACTACAAATTTTTAGGTTTAGCAGAGTCTACCACCCACAACCAAAATACTTAACATGAAAATATATATATATATATATATATATATATATATATATATATATATATAGATATCACCGGACAACTTGGATAACTGGCACAAGTTTCTAAAAGAATAATCATTTGTTTAGTGACCTCAATTTATTAACTGATATCAAACATGCTTTATTTAGGACTTGGCAAGCAACAGAGATTTCTTTTGCTTAAAAAAAAGAAAACAATCTAATCTGATTCTACACAAACAAACAGTTTATTAAATATTTGGTCATTTGCTGACAGAGAAAATGCTTAGCAAGTAATTTTCATTCAATTTAAACTGCTGGTATATAGAATGTCGCATGAAATCAACATGATTTCTGAAAAAAGCTGCAGAGGAATCCAAATGCAAGAGACCATTTCAAATGCCTTTAAGTTTGGTATCACTACATTAGTAGCTGATTACTTTTATGCCTGCTCTTTAAATACCACCAGTGGCATCCATGTGTCCTGCTCTTGATGTAAATGTCTATGAAGACTACTTGCACTTGCAAAAGGAACACAGCCTGGCACATTCAGTCCACCACATAATAAAGTCTGTATTCCTGAAGCTGCCTCATTGCTGGGTTACAAACCAACTCCTAGTCTCCGGAGGTCTAGATGCAGTCCACTAAACAGTAGGCTGAAATAACTCCTGGACATCACGGAGCGATCGTTCCAGTGTGAGAGCCAGCTTTTCTGCGTTAGTGTCCTCACAACAGTTAAAGGCAGTTACAGAGAAGTGGAGATGATCTTGTTGTGGATTGTAACACACTGCATATCCATCTGGAACCAGCGGTCCAAAACACATCACACTGTCTGTATTTGTGGGCACCTGTAGTGACCAAGAAAAATTACACTGAAGTTTCAACTTTGTTTCTATTATGATTTTCTCCTGCTTGTGAAATAGATTAATTTAAATGGGTGTGAAACACTTTGAAAAAGGCAGCGAACTAGAAGACAGTGTCTTTCACAACAATTCACAACACAACAGACTGAAAACTTATTCTAGACATTATTAAAAAAATAATAATAAAAAAGAAGACTATTTCCATTAATGTAAGCTGTTCACTTTTCTGTCTGCTCCATTGCCCCGCTTGTTAGATGTTTGCTCCTACTTTCTTTTGTAGTCTGTGCATCAAACGCATAATTTGCACTGTGTCATTTGCTTAGTTTGCAGGATGTCTAATCGCATAATTGCATTAACTTCACATGTAAATCACTCATGCTTGATGCTTCCTTCACATCTGCTTAGTGCTCAGACTGCAAAACAATTTCCCCCACTCATAAAATGTTTGGATTGTGAGTGCGCAGGAGAGACGCCATGCTTCGAAAGACACTCAAATACATCACGTGCAACGTCTGTAAAACAATTAATATTTATTAATATTAATGTTCAACAATTAATATGTATTTATTAAATTAACTGAAATATGATTTGATTATGTGGTTTAGAATTTGATATTTTATGAGATTATTACAATTTTTGCAGTTAAACTAAGAATTTAGCAGGATCACAAAAATAGTGACAGGTGATTTTGCTTTGGAATCAGCGATCACAAAACTAAAAAACGAGGGTCTGACTAACAGTCAAATTAGGAAAAAAATATGTGAAGTGATACAGGAATCAAGCTAAAAAATATGCAAATCGCTGGAGATTAAAAACCGGAACTGATAAACACCATCATACATCTGGCACAGTGCAGCACCAGCACAATGCAAGTGTTTTTTTGTTTTGTTTTGTTTTGCTTGTATCATACCATCGCATTTTGAAGCAAATCATATTAACAATCATCTGTTGACATCACCTGTTTAAAATCACATCATTATTTAACTAATTTACTTGATTACTAGTCTTAAACTGCTCTTGTCCCAACTTTTTTGAAATGTGTTGCAAGAACTAGAATTGAATTAAGTGTTTATTTTAAAGAAAAAACATCAACAACAACAACGACAATAAAAATCATGAGGAACACATTAAAAAATGTTTGTTGTGTATTGCATTGCAGATCGTGTACACCGCAATGACTTAAACACACAACCAAGTCATGTAGTCAGAACACCACAGGGATCTGTAGTGTGAACTAGGCTTAAGTAACATCACTAAAATAAAATAGGCAATTAATTTTATTAAGTAGAGTATTGCCGGGCTTGTTTTAAATTGTTTTCTGTGGATTTTTTTTCTACTAGCAAAAAGTGTGGTACAGGCTGTTGCTCATGAGACTGCAGCAATAAGCAATAAATTTTAAACAATGTCTCAAAGATGATTCCAACTTCATGAATTAAGGTAGTTTGAATGTAACTAAAATCATCAGTTACCTGTCCTGTTCGAAGTTTCCAGTGAGTGGCAAGTCCATAGGCTGTGTCCATGAAGATTCTCGGTACACTCAGTCCATTCTCAATGGCTTGAAGTTTAAGACCCAACAGGTGCCGGTCTATGCCCTGGCCCATCAGCGACTTAAAAACAAATAAAAGTAAATATGCAACTTGAAAAAAAAAAAAAAAATTAAAATAAAATCACATTATGTAGTCATCATTACATATTAGGATCTGCACAGAATATTTTCACAAGTAAACCTGTTAAGTTACTCACCTGCTCTGTGAGGAGGCTATATGCATTGACAGCCTCTCTGAGCAGCTGTATTTTGGCTTCCCTCTAATATAGATGCAAACAGACATACACACTTGATCAGTGTTGCTCAATAACAACATCTTATTTGGTCTTCTAATCACTCACAGAAACGGCAACATCATCAAAGGCCTGTATGAAGCTCAGCATCTGATTGGTTGGAGAGCGAATGTAGTCTGTTCGTCCTCCCCTGAACATCCTCAGAGAAGCAATGTCACATGCAGCACACACTTCATTGTGAACTCTAACAGAGAAGCGAAAGCAAACACAATGCATTCATGAAATGTATTACTTGTTGATAATGAATGATGGTAGAGAAATGTCTCAAATGTCTCACCTGTAGTAGGCAAGCTGAATAGCCAACTGCACGAAAGAGTTTGGGCTCAGCTTGAGTTGTTTGACAAACTTCTTTCCAAAACACTGGAAGTTAAAACATTTGATGTCCAAATCGTTGATGAGACTATGGGGAGAATTTGGTTGTAAAAATGAAAATTAGCTTGTTACTGTTATGCAGTGCTTAATCTAAATCAAAACAAAATATCAGGTACTTTTAATCAAAGATTAAAGTTACTTTTTAAACCTGCATTTATGGTACCTGCCAATTTGAGTACGGATACTTTTAAGTTCTGTATTTATTTATTTGTTTGTTTTGCTTTTTAAAAATAAATACTGAGTATTTTATCTGATGTTGCCTTGTTTCATTTGTCAAATAGAAATTTCCTTCAGTTATTTTCACATTTAATTGTGATAAATAACTGAAGGAATCAATAAGTGATAAAAGCTCTTAATGAGATTTTAAATCACTCTTATCACTCTGTCATATTTTAAATCTCCCATTAAGCAGCACAATAATAAATGTCGTGATTTTAAACACATTAAGACTCGTTACACATTAATAATGTAAGAGAGAATGTTTTTGCTGACACATAATATGATACCCGAACAAGCATTTTGAAATGTCTAACATTCTATTAATTAGATATGCTGAGGAGCCAAAACCAGAATCAAGCTTTCAAGGTAACCCAAGAATGAACGAGCAGTGTGCTGGAGGACTATCCACAATAGAATTTTGAATGGATGTGGCCAATACAATCTTGGCCCAGCATAATACCCATGCACTCTCAAAAGAAGAATACATCACAGACCATTTAGAAAAAGACAACAATATGACCTAAAATTCAAATTGATTTAACACTTTACCTCGATTTTTTTTTCAATGTAATTATTTATTTACTTATTTTTTCCTCTTGTTATTCATTATGTTATTATTTGTACTGTAAATATACTCAACTATTAAATGTCTTTTTTAAATGCCACTTTCAATGAATAAGCCCCTATTAAAAGCTTTTTAAACATTACCTTCCATGCAATGTGTAACACTCATAGTTAGCTCTTAGTAAATTAAAACATCTAGCTGTTGTTTGAATCTGAAAGGACACAGTGTTTAAAACGAATTATTCTTAAATGGGTTCAAATGTTTGGCCGTTTCATGTGGCAATGATACGAAACATAACCATATATGTGGTGGCGGATTCGGGGAACCAGCCCTTCCTTTTAAACATTCTTTATGATTGATTATGAAATGTTTGTTCTTAAAGGAAGGATCAGCACCAGAGACTATTTATGTGTGGGACCCTGGATTACAACCTGTAAGTGTGATTAAAATGGTTGCCTCCATGTTTTCTCTGGCTTGCAAAACAAGTATTTAATTGTGTGTTGTAACTTGATCCCTTTGCATGGCATGCACTGTATCTCTCTGGTTAACTCTTTATGGGGCTATTCACATAGTCTAAAACCACATGGAAAACCTGATGCATGCCGCTTCCTATAGTGATTTCGATGTAATTGCGAGCTTGAAATCCCCTGGTATTTATCATTGCTTTGGCCAATATTGGCTGTTCTTAAACAGATGTGCAGAAGACAATTTTCAAAAAAAGTTTACTTTGATGCTGCTATGAATATACATTTTCTATTATATTTAAATGTTTTATCATGAGTAAAATTCTTTTTTAAATCTTCTCATGTTACCTGGTAGGTTTGTCATCTATAAATCCAATCAATTTCATCATGAATTATTTACAGACATATTAAATGTTTTTTCTTTTTGTTCATTTAAATGAATTAAGACAGTGTCCTGCCTGCACCACCTTTTAACTAATAATAATTTACAAATAATTTTATAATCTAATACTAAATAAAAATGCAGTCTTAGTGTTATTTTTGCAATTGTAAATACAGGGTAGATGCATTATATTCACTTATAACATGTCAGGATCCATCTCTGCACTAGACAGATACATCTTTGTTGGATTAGCAAGAGTCACATACAATATTGTTATTCTATTTAATTTAGTTTAAATATTAAATAGACCTAAACAGTTTGTGTTCATAGATAAAATACCCTATAGAAAAAAAATGGCAGAGAACTGAGCAGTAGAATGTGAACGCGTTTGTGAATCAGCTGTCCACTGTAAATAATTACAGTAATGAGAATAATGTCAATCAGTTGTGTGAATGAAATATCCTGTTGCAAATGGTAAGTTCGATTAAGGTCTTTACCAGTCTGTACTGCACTTCAATAATGCGACTAAAACAGGAATACTGCATTTCTTAATTCCATTTACTGTATGTTAAACACAATTATGACTTTATTCAGATTGATGTCATTCTGTTTACATGGTAATCCGATTATTGTGGTGTATAATAACCACTATCAAATAACCACTATCTCTTGAAAGCAAAATATAAAAGTTTTAACAAAATATCAATGAATTAAATATTTCCAAACTACATTTTTTTGATGAATTTAGAAATGCTGGCAGTTGCTGATGCAACCCCTTATAACTTATGAAATAAGTTGAAGGAAAGCGAGTGAGTGATGCTTGGCACGTTATAGCTCAGAAATAATAATAATTAAAAAATACTGCAAATAAAAATCTGCCAGACTTCTAAATATTAATTAAATTGTCTGCATTCTGTCAAACTGACTTGCTCCAGTGAAAATGAAGATGATACATGAGTGTAGACCAACATCCTTTAAATCGCACTGTTTACAACCAATAACAAATAAATCAGTTGCAAAGAATATAATTTACCTAACATATTAGAGGTTTGCATTCTCTTTTATTTTGTCAGGTTGCCGCACATATGAACAATGAAAACTTAAACTCACATATCCAGATTCTGCTTGGCCATCTCTAGATCCCATTTGATTTCAGAATTGATGTAGAAGTAGAGTTTCTTGGGCATGGGCAGAGGAATTAATGGAGCTCGCACACTGTCTGTCATTTTACTGACAAAGAAACACATGTCATTTTCCATTACCATACAAATGACTATTAAAGATCTTACTACAATTACATTTTCAACCTCATTTACATATTCTGTCAGGAAACTCTTTGCATATGCCAGCGACACATCAACCTTTCTTAAAAAAGGCAAATTTTACAAGTCCCTCTGAAAACAGCCCATTCTCAAGCACTAAGTAATATTGTTCTGCCTGGTGCAGGCATAGTACAGCAGCAGAGTTTCTAGACTATTCTATCGCCAGAATGGGAGTGTAGTTCTGAAGAAAGTTTAAAGCATGCAAGATTTTGTAAATACCAGTATTCCAATACATGATCCAGCAATGTGGCTATAGGTGGACCCTCTGCTGTTGCATGTTCGTACAAGAGACCCCAAGACCCATCCTCACCCACAACAAACTAAACATACAGAGAAAAGACAGGACAAAAAGCAAGTGGCGTTACACTCAAGTGTGTAATATTCATACATGCTGTGTCCTTGTATTTCAAATGCAATAAAATTAAATTGATTAATTTCACGGGCCAGAATCACCTCAGCTGACCTTGCCACTGTGTTACTGTTTCTGACCCATGAAATCTATCAGTTTAATTTGTATACATTTTGAATACAAGGGCAGCTTGTGCATTCTATAGAATTTGAAGGGTTTTAATTTAGTAATTATGCATAAACCAGACCCGAAAAAAATCCTGTTATTTTGTTGCTTTCAATAATTTTTTCCGTTATTATTTCATATAATCACCAAACAGTGAAAAACGATGATGTATCATGACAAACGTGTTGGAAGTTGACAGCAATGGTCTTTGTGTTCAAATCAGTTATTTGACAACGTACTGTAAAAATGTAGTTAATGAGCAACCAAAAATGGGCAGCTAAATTTACCTTGTTTTTTGACTTGGCTGGCATGACTGCAGTATCATCACCCCTCAACTGTAAAGCTTTTCTATACATAAAAGTGATAGTCCAGATGCAAATTTATTTCACAAAATTCAGTAAAAGCGAATAAATCATCCACAATCCCTCTCCAAACACCTTCAGAGTGGCTTGACATTTAAGGCGCTTCACTGATCTTTAAACCCTGCTATGAGCTATAGTTTTAGAGTTTTCAAGCATACTCAAGCGAGAGAGGATATAGTTCAACTTGAGATTAAAGTTGATTGGTTGCTCCCAGGTGTGGACTGCCCAAATCGCATTTAACTTATTTTTGAGAAAAGCATGCGGCAAAAGAAAAGCCAGTGGCAAATAGAGAAAGAAAAGCATTTTTCAAATGCCGTTATAAAAAGCTATTAACAGCTAAAATGTGCATTTAATAATTATTTATTAAAATACATTTGATTAATCAGCATTTTAAAACATTAATTAAATATACAGTTATAAAACAGTCTATTAATTTGTTTCAATAAGTTTATTTATTGTTTTATTTCTTTTTAAAAATACATGTAAAATGTATATTTATTTGTTCACTATTTGTTTATTTAAATTGTGATTTATTTATATAATTTTTTTTTATTTAATAGTTTTATTTCAAACTAGCCCTTCTGGTCCTCTATAGGTTTGCCTATTTATATAAGAAAGACACTGATATGATACATTTGTGTCTGCAGATCAGTGGCTGAGTAAACAGAAAAGTAACTCCGTAAATGATGTTTATTTAGGCTATTTGTTGGCTAAAGACTGATTTATAATTGACACAAAAATCTAGGAATGCACCAGTGGGTAGCACGTTCGCTTCACAGCAAGAAGGTCGCTGGTTTGAGCCTTGACTGGGTCAGTTGGCGTTTCTGTGTGGAGTTTGCATGTTCTTCCCGTGTTCGTGTGGGTTTCCTCCGGGTGCTCCAGTTTCCCTCACAAGTCCAGAGCCATGTGGTATAGGTGAATTGGGTAGGCTAAATTGTCCGTAGTGTACGTGTGTGTGTGTGTGTGTGAATGAGTGTGTATGGATGTTTTCCAGCCGCCATCTATTATAATGTCTATAGGTACTGTCAGTCTGTTTAATACTGTCATGTATTAAAACTCCGCTGATTTCCTGAAATAAACTTTGCATTTGGGGATAAACCAGCAAAGCTCTCTGATATAGAGAACTCTTCTTCCTCTCGATACAGTATTGAAAGAACATAATATGTAGCCTATTCCTCTTTTTTTTCTACATTGGAAAAAAAAAAAGAAAAACTAATTATGACAGTATACTGCTTGAATTACTTCCGAAATGTTTAGCATTTTTTTAGAATTAATTAATTAATACGCATCGCATGCAATCGGAATGTGCAAGGTTTTTCGAACCTGAGCAATTTTTCGGATATAAATACGAAAAAACACATACTTAAATTCTGGATTTCAGTGTGCCAAGACCTTTACTTGTAACTTGCACATGTGACTTAATCCAACCTCTGCTTTTAACTTTTGCATGTACATTATGCCACATTCTATGTCAGTCATCAAAGGTTTGGCAGCCAAAACACAGACTGTTATCTTATTTGTGTTTTTATCTGAGCTTAAATTTAACGTACTATGTATGTGGAGCTCTTTTTTGAAAATGGGAGATGCAGGGAGAGCAATGTTGTAATGGGGCAACAAACACACCTAAGTTCCTTGGACTATAAGTGTTTAAGGCATGCTTATGCATAGTGTCATATAACTCAGCTCATACTGTCATTTTTTCTAAAGTAAAAAGACATTAATACATTTCATAAAACACATCTGGTTATGCAGAGGTTGACATTAATTAAAATTACAACTCTAATTATTACAACTCTGCCCCCTTTTTTTAAAGTGTCACAAATGTCGCCCACTCCAGGCAAAAATAAACCTCTCTATTAGTTTAGTTGAGCAGATTTAAGGCATCTACTGAATTAGTTCAAAATTATTTTGACAAATGAAGTATGATTATTTTGCCCATGTCAGGCTGTGAGAGTGTGCACTTGTGAGTAAGAAAGCAGGCACTGAGATGCAGGAGCTCATTATCATTTATGAATATGAATGAAACATTTATTCCGTTTCAAACATGGACCTTTTAATTCTAGGGGTAAATCCTGTTTTAATAAACATAAAAAAAAAACATTTCTAATGATTTATTTTTTACTTAAGCCACATACTTATTATTTATAACAGAGAACAATTTAACTTATTGAAACGCCTAACCATATGGCACCTTTAATCTGACACACTAAAAAAACAAGCATACAACTTACCTGTAATGTCTTGTCAAACCAGCGATTGCCACTGTTTGAATAAGTTCCACCCCCATGCAAAATCTGTGCTGCCATTCGACTTGAATAGCTGCAAATCAGCGAACAGTTAGTTACCAATTAAAATAAAATACAGACTGCTTGGCACAGTCAATGTGAAAATCACAATCTATAAACAATCCTTACTTCTCATCAGAAATCCTCATAACTGGTGAGTCCAAACACAATGTAAAGAGTGATTTCTCAATCAGCCTAACAGATTCTTTATTTATTTTATCTGAAAAAAAGGTTAATCAAGCATGACATTTTTGACACTTTATTTTAGCAAGTGAAGGCACTTTTTTGTCTTATTAAGTCTGTACTCACAACCCTATTGTGCATCCCGCTTATTAACGGCTCATTAGAACACTTTCTAAAGCTGTGGTAAATAGTTGTTTAGAGTGCAGGTCAGAAATACCTCTGAGCAAGCGAGTGTAAGCCTGTCCCCAGGTGTGTCGATGCTCGCTGGTCAAAATTCCCATTGGCTCCTTATCAGTCTTCCAAGACTGAGAGCGGATCCGTAACAGCTGTGCATGTATCTGACTTTCTGTCAGTGGCGTTCCATCACTGTTGTAAACATCAAGCTGGAAAAACTAAAACACAAACTACTACTAAAGGTTTTGTAAACAATAAGGTTTGTATTTTGTAAGACACATTATAAACACGTTTAATATTCTTAACATATAATTATAACCAGTTATGATGCAACACTGTCCTTATGATTAAACAAAAGTGAAATAAATGTAATCATTTAATCATCAACATTTGTTATTACAGGTACAAAATAATGAAAATCTGGATATACCTAAACATAGCTGAATAATAGAAGTTCATTTCATGGAAAAAGAAACTGTGAGCCTCAATCACCATTGTTTTCTCTTTCTCTTGTAAATCCCATGTATAGAAACATAGCCAGGAAAAAAAAGAGGATTTTAATAAAGTAGATTGCTGGTTTTTCACTCCAGAAAAATCAAAGGAAGAGCTGAGTTATATGACACGAATGCATTCGACGTCTGTCCCCATTACTTAGAAATGCATAGAAAACAATCTGTAAAGACTGGCTTTAGCCTATAGTCTTTGGCTTTATTGTTGTCCCTTGAAAATTTCTCATTTTTAATTATAAGAGTCCCACATGAATACACAAGTTTAATATAAGCTTAGATAAACTTAAAAATAAGGTAACAGTCTGTGTTTTGGCTGTCCAACTTGTAATGCTGGTCTGGCTCACAAAGAACTGACCTAAAGAGTATACAAATGTTGAGGGCATGCTAACTAATAGTTTTGTCTACAATATAACAGTCTGTGTTTTGTCCTAATTGGCCTGATATATATTTTACAATCACAAGATTCATATTAGAATGAGGGTACAATTGTGTTTAAAGCTCACAGTGTGCCATTTCCATGTACTGAACTCTTATTATTTAGCTATGCATAGGTTTCTCCAGATTTTTATCATATGGTATCTTTAAAAAAATAATTTATTAAGGAGCGGTTCTCAGCCAGCCATCTCTTCACAGCTATCATAACATAAAATGCAAAACATACAGACTACATTTTATTTAACACCATTAATACATATTTATGCATTATGTCATATTGCTCCGCTCTTATCGTCATTTTTTATGAGAAAAAAAAAATGCTAATAAAGGTCAAAAACTCATCTGTCATGTAGAGGATTATTTTAATTCCAGCCAGTATTTTCATATACGCCACAGCTGTCAAATCCAGTTCCAATCCTGCTAACACACTTACCTGTCGGTTTCAAACAAAACTGAAGGACTTAATTAGTTTGATTGTGTGTGTTTAATTAGGGTTGGAACTAAACTGTGCAGAGCTGCAGCTTGCCAGGAACTGGATTTGACACTTGTTATATAAGCTAAAGCTAAATTAAATTGCTGAATTATATTTGATTAGATAAGAAAATGTTATATTAAATGTTTATTTTACTATAATCATTACATAAATATATTATTTAAAAACTAGCGTTACTTTAGGAATATTATGTAAAAATATACAATTAGTCAAATACTCAACAACATTTTATATTTTACCAACAACAAGCAGACTTTACTTGATTATCATATAAGGAATTTGTGCTTTTTACTCAAAAAATAAAAAAAAAGATAAAAAAAAAAAGAAGAAAGTAACTTAGATCTTGTTCTCTTTTACAGTCCACTGTTATTCCAGCTGCTGTGATAAAAGGCCTTGAACCATCCCCGGCAGTCTCCTTGCATGTGATACCGGGATTCCTTCTCTGTATACACAGGCATTAATGAACGATGACCTGCTCATATTTCACATGTAAACACCACTATTTCAAGAAAACCTTGTTGCTTTAGCTGACGTCATTTTTACACTACTGCTAATCCCAGGGGGACCAAATCCCCAAGTCCTGCTTAAGTCAGATAGGGACAAAAACAAAGACATACAGAAGGATACTGTTGCAGAGTTGTAGTGTTTGATAATATAATTTTACATAAACAGGGTTACCTGGTAGTTCCTGACCACAGTAATGTGAGCTGGGCCACGACGTGGGCGTCCATAATGAACAACAAGATCATGTTTGGGTCCTGGGATTCGACAGGAGGAGAACAACTTTGGAAATAATTCCATACATAATGGGTTTCCACGCATGTACTCTATGGCCAGCCTGCCACTGGACGAGAGAATAAATCATATTAAGGTTCAGACAGGCACAGTATGATATATTAAGAAATAACCGCATGCTATTAGTTTTGGCCCTGCTTGACTGAAACATGCAAACACATGTTAGTTAAATGTTAGCGATTAAATTAGCACAAGTGCTCTGAAATAAATGTGTTGATCTACCATTGTAAGCTAATGTTGTAAATAGATTTCAGACATAAATTCAAGTAACAAACCTGTCCACTTCAGCTTTGAAGTTGAGCACACCAGCTATTAACTTTGATGCGAACCTGCACAAGACACAATTTAGGTATATTGACGTGAAACATACCTTATAGATTGAAATAATTATACTGTCCTTAATGCTTCAGATACTGAAAAACACATTTAAAATGTGCAATATATTATTTTAGCACCATTTGAATGGAAAGTAAAAAGTATGAGGACTTTCCTATTAGTAATTCTATACGGACGTTTGTTTAAGTGTGAGGAATCTAAACCGTTACATACACTAATTGACCTCTCCAGTCTGTGAAGTCACGTTTCGGCAAAGAAATGGCTGGATTTGAATGCACTGCCAAAGGTTGCCTGCATTCCAGGTATGCCCACTGCACCCACCAATCTGAGATCTGGAAAAGATAAAACAAAAAAAAAACAAGCAAAATATATGATAGTCTTTGTACTTCATTTGTGTTTCAGCAAAACATCTTCACAAGCTCACAAGGCTGGCTCCACGAATAATGTCATTGGGCTAAATAAATCTATTTCTGTCATACTGATACGTACAAGACATTGTTTAAAACAGTAAATGGTTTACATTCACTGGTGTAACCAACTCTCACGAAAACAAAAGATTGTTCCCTTGTAGATTGTTCCCTCCCCACTCAGAGGCATCACAGTTGCAGTGCATGATATGTAGCTGTTGTCAATGCTGTCATTTAATATTACTTTAATATTCAAAGTTAACTTATGGGTGAACACACACACACATTATATATATATATATATATATATATATATATATATATATATATATATATATATATATATATATATATATATACTTCTGACCAATTCACAGTTGAATAGCTATCCAATCAGAACAATATGCACGCATTCATGCATGAATATATATTAACTTTTATGGAAATCAATGGCTATAGTTTCAACATTCCTGAAACTATCTTCTTTTGTGTTCAACAGAGAATAAACACGGGTTTGGAACAAGTGAAAGGTGAGTAAATCATGATAGAATTATAGGCAATTTTCACGGATGTAACAATAACGTACACATAATCGTCCCTAAAAAATAACTGGATTTATAGTAAAGGTCCTTAGTGAAACAATAATAACATTTAATGTGTAATATAATCCAGCAATTATGTATGTACGTTAATGCTGGATATCCAAATAAGCTTCAAACTTACTGTATTAGATGAGGATATGTAGTTACCAAGGTAACGTTGGCCTAATTTTGTTTAATAATACATTTGAGTCACGGCTTATTCAGTGCTGTTCTCACCCAGTTGTGAGAATGTTTTGCTCGTTTAATCAGCTCTCTCTGCAGGCTTTCCCCAAGGCCTCCAGCGCATCCAAACTCCTGCACGATCCTGCGAGTGTGTTCGAGCTCATCTTCCGGCAAAAGTGGCTCCAGAGCCGCCAAGTAGCGCTGCAATGTCTGGCCGAGAGGAGGAACCGGCTGGTACGGGACCGAGGAGTGGGCCTGCCTCAGCACGGCCTGGCGAACACAAAGTGACTAAAGGTGAGATATTAGTTTTCATTTAAATAACTTATACTTACTAAGTCACTTCCCTTATACTTGTCTTTACTCTAAAAGTAGTTTGCGTCTGTAATTACGTGCATAAATCATTGATTTTACTTAGTTTTTCAAATAATCAATTTCGTCAAAACGTCCATGTGCCAATAAAATCATACAATAACGTTATATGCCTACACACAATAACGTTACTTACCCTCATCATGAATGAAGAGCAGAGCCTTGCAGGTATTCTCTTTAAAAGCATTTTTCTATGCTGTTTATAACTTACGACGAAATATAAAACTAGAATATACGATTGTGCACGAGGTCCAGTTTTTGGTATTATAGAACCCTGACGACTTCTTAGGCAAAAAAGAAAACAACAAAAACTTCTAACAGTTGAAGCATTTTGGTCAGTTAAAAGTCGTCAAAGCTCGGGTGTGTACGATGCAACACATGTTTAGTGTTTACAGCCGTGTTTTTCGTATATATTCGCATTGAGGAAAAGAGTACGTTCATTCCAGTTGAAAATATGCAGAGGCCAGCGGTATTTTGTTTGCTTGCACGTCTAGTCGTATGTTTACGGTACGGATGCTGGGAGCGGTCAAAATTGATATTAGGCTTTGCCTAAAACTTTTCTGTTGATTGCCATTCACAGTACCCTAAGTTATTACTGTGCACAAACAGACAGACATATATAGAAAAACATTTGGATTTTTTTAACTTACCGTTTTAGAGAAAAGTAGCATAATCAAGCCACTTGATTACAGTTTTGTTACATTTTGTTTGGGGGGTGATTTACTTTTCATTTTCTCAAAAAATTTACAGTACATTTAATTTAAAACTAATGCCAGGGCCTCACAATGGGTCATGCAATTTCTGAAAAATGATGAAATTTAAAATGGTCTATTCCAGATATTGAAAGTCAGGAATTGTATATTTATATTTTGTCCAAATCGTGGTTGTCAGAAATAGCAGTTTTCATATGTAGGCTATCATATGGTTTGTCGATTTTTTTCATCTTTTGCCTGTTAGACTATTTTAAGCACCATTTTAAGGCAAACGAGCCAGTGAAATATTAATTTCAAGAGCTTTGGCTAAAATGACCACCAGGCCACCCTTATGTAAATTCTGGCCACTCAAATAGGATTTTGCTGTTGATATTATAAATTTAAATCTACTTGCAGAAATTTACAATATTTCAATTTCAATAAATAAATAAATAGCAGCCACTAAGTTTTTGTGGATTGATTGGTGCCACTGACATAACTGATTTACTGCTCCTCCCAGATGAATGGCAATTTAATATTTACCTTAAGATATCAATATAAGAAGCTGTTTTAATAATATTAAAAAAAGGAATATGGATAAATTATATTATTAGGGTCTGTATAGTAAGTGCGTGTGCATGTTGTATTGTCTTTTGTTCAGTTTGTTAATTTGTTTGTTGTTAATCTTTATTAATTTTAGACATGGCATATAATGCATAGTGTACAATAAAAGTATGAAAAAAATAACTGAAAAGCTCTTTATATACATGTAAAGTGTTTTTAAAACTAAATACTGTTTTTTATTTGGTTTGCATGAGTACTTCCTGAATTATTTTAAGGAATAAATTGCATTATTTCAATAGCAATTAATTAAATGAACTAAAACCACATTATTTACCAGAAACAAAAATATAACATTACACTGAATTCATTATTTTTGGTGTGCCACCCCAAGATTTGGTGTGGCGTCTTCTGGCCACCCCTAAAAATATTTTCTGGGGGCACCACTGATGACCACTTCAAAGCCTGGTTGTTAGATTGCTTTTCTTTCTTTGTTTTCCAAATCTGAGGATAATTATAATAAATTATATTTTTGCTCTCATAATGACTATTACATTCAAGCAAAATAATGTTCAGGCTCCGATATTTATATGGATAGGTTTACATGGATATTTAGCTTTATAGTCAGGGAAAGGTCTGGAAATTTGACAGTTGCCTAAGAATACCCTGTACATTAATAGTTAAGGTCATCGGAAAAGGAATAATACTTATAAGGGTCATTCCTGGTGTTCGGTATTATTCAGCTTGAGCAAACTAATTTTTAAAAGTGTATTTATTATATTTTTAAATAGCCTACATAATTAGGTACAATTTAAACTTTCAAAAAATCATATTTTTCCACCTCAGGCATTAAAGCCTTATATTATTTTCTATTTTATTCTTATTTGTCACCCATTATTCTCAACCCTGTAACGGACAAAACTGAGTTGTTAATGGCTAAAATATAACATTTTTGATAAGTTTTAGATTTATATGCGATTTAAGTTACAATTATACAATTTACGCATTCTGTGGACTCTTTTAAATTTAAATTTAGTTTAAATTTAGATGTCTAACCCAAACCACATATTTTTAATGTTAGGCCTTAACATGGTGGTTGGTACTCACCAATAATTTTTTCTATATTTAATTGTTTTCCTTTTATTATTTTCCAAAAAAAATAATTTCACAGGTTTGAGAATACAATGACGGGGTTGAAGACTGTAATAGGGTTGAGGGGACACTTTAATTTAAATTTGTTTTAATTAATTTGAAATTATATCTAAGACTTAACCAAAACACTTATTTATCTAAGTAAAACATTTAGCAAAGGCATTAATCACACTGAGATGAAATTAAACTTCATTAAACCAAATACAGTCAAAATTCAAAAAAGTAAACTGCTGCAAGTAACTGGACCGTTAATATAACCTTTAAAAATTCTAATAAAGGCCTATGTTACCAAATATATTGCTGAACAGAACCTACAGTAAACAGGAGCAACAGATAAATTGTCATTATTTGACACGATAAACATTATTTCTAGGAACATAAATAAAAACTGCAGCAGAAAGTTCTGCAGCAGAGTTCTTCTTAATGAAATTGTTAATGAAAATTCTTAATAATAATAATAATAAAATAAAATTATATAACCAGATGGGGTGGTATGAATATTTCAGAAACTGCTGATCTACTGGGATTTTCATGCACAACAATCTCTAGCGTAGAAAATTATATAGTGAGCAGCAGTTCTGTGGGCGCAAATGCCTTGTTGATGTCAGAGGAGAATGGCCAGACTGGTTTTAGCTGATAGAAAGGCAACAGTAACTCAAATAAGCACTCGTTACAATAGAGTTCTGCAGAAGAGCATCTCTGAACACACAACATGTCCAACCCTGAGGCGGATGGGCTAGAGCAGCAGAAGACCAGGGGATTCAACCAGTGATTCCTAAACCTTTTGATACTGTAGCTTAACCCTCTTTATCTATATTGAATTATGCCCTTAATCACCCCTTCTCTAAAGTTGGGTAATTGTCACATGACATAGAGATAAACAATTTTTTTTTTACTTTACATGTTCTGATTTTAATAGCTTTTCATTAATTCATGATGAAACTTGTGACACAATCAATATAAAATCTGCTGCTGGTACGGGTGCCATGTCTGACATAAAATTGTGTCAAAGTTTAAGTGAAAACACTGCTTCAAATATTCTATCAGTGACAAAAAGTTACAGTAAGTATTTATTTACTGAAATGTTTTTTTTTATTTAAAATTCTTGATAAATTAGGTCAATATCTCAATCCTGTTACTAGTTTACAACCCCAAAACATTGACATAATGGGGTTGAGTGTGATGGGGTTGAATTTTTGAAACAAAATTACCTCTGCTCTTCGTGTGGTTTAAAAGAGAAGGGCCACATGGCAGCAATTAAAGCCTTCTTTTGCACCATGCTGTTAAAGAGAGCTGAATAATGTCACTTTCTGTCTGTGATGTTATATAAGAGTGGGGTCTAAACTGCTATAGGTAGAGAATTGCTGGCGTGATGGGGTTGAGTTTATATTGAGGGACATAATTTTGTAGCCTGTTTTTTTTATATTAAAAAAAATCTTATTTTTGTATTTAAATTTATTTATCACAAAAGAACACAGATAAACAGTTGTAATACAGAAAAAATTTAGACTGTGCATTTTATTAATTTTTTTCTACATGCAATTTCAAAGTGCCTCAGGGACATGACAAATAGCTTGGTTTGTGACAGAAATATTATATTTTTTATTCTAAAAATTATTTTAATGTAGAAATCTTGTTGATTCATTATAATGTACAAAGTAAATCAATGAAAAATGTTTTTAAAATGTAATTTTTCAAAAAACACTTTAAAAATTTGGGGGACTGAAATATTATTATTTGCCAGGAATGACCCCTAAAATACATTTTAAAAATAACACATTAGACATGATGTAGGCCTATGAGGATTACTGGACAAGCAAAAAAAAAAAAAAAAAAAAAAAACAAGCCAAGGGAGAAAAGTGTGGCAACAGGACGTCAGCAGAAGACATACAAAGAAGGCTATATACACATTACCATTTTTGTATGCACAGTTCACCTGTGCTACAATTAGAAATGGGGAAAACAGGAGTCCCTGAGGGACAAATTCTAAAGACTATCAAAATATAAAAAATATAAAAGAAAATATTTTAAATCTGTGTTAAGCTTAAAAGTCAGAGTGAAAGAATGCATCAGTTAGAACAAAAAAAAAAACTAACACTTTACACACACCATCCTTTGGCTTAGTCTCTGAATTCGCCACAGCGCAATGAGCCGGATGCAGTTCCAGCCACAATACAGCACAGGGAAACATACACTCCCTCATTTACACAAAGCTTCATTTACTATGGCCAATTTAGTTTACCAAATTCTCTTTTTACCTTTTTACCAATTTACCTTACCACATGTCTCTGGGCAGTGGGGTAAACCGGACACCTGGAGGAAACATGTTAAGTCTTGGTGCATTAACTAATGTTATTAAGCATAAATTTGGATTTTAATAAGGCATTATTAAATGTTGAACTATGATTAATAAATGCTGTACAAGTACCATTCACACTTTATGTTAGTAACATTAACTAATGAAACCTTATTGTCAAGTGCGACCCAAAAAACATACATTCAAAACAACATGAGATTGAGCAGTTAGAGTAAACCTATTATTTAAGTCTTTATTTACATTGTGAGATAACAGTTATTTATTTCAAAGCTATTTATTATAGCACTATCATCGTGTGCACCTACTCTAAAGAGTTTAGGATGGATGCAAGAGTAGAGCATACTGCATAAAAACAACTGGACATTTACAAACTATATCAAACCAGTTTTAACTGGCCTGCCACATTTATGTTCCCATAACCACACAAAGTAATGACTGTTTAAGTAAAGGTACTGTGAACAAAAAAAAATCTAAGATGATTATGCAATGATTGTCAATAGGTATGTTTCTTGTTGATGAGTAGACAAAAGGAGGACAGCGCTCCTCCGAGTTTGGAGGCCTCACTGCAGGCTGTGGGCAGCAAGGTGTAGTCTGTCAAACGCTGAAAGGCCTAAAACAGAGAATGGTAAGTAAATGTAACATACAGTATGTAGCTTCATATAACCATTCATCGTTTATAATCAGTTTTGAAAAAAAGAAAACTTCTTTCATGTCTTTTTTAAAGTACCTGCCAGAAGACAACTGATGCGAACAATTTTAACTTATCAAATTACTTACTAACATTAGCATTTACACTTTTGTGCATTCAAAGCACATTCAGAAGGATAGAAGATACTACATCAAGCAACCATATTATTTACTGCTCTCCGGAATGCCTTAGAACAGAACTTTTAACCCTTTGACCCGTACGACCACAAGCATTGGCTGTTCCCTGGAGCGTACTATCACACCGCTGTCATTAGAGTATTCAGTACATCACATCATCAGCTGCTAAAAGCAAATCTGCTTCCTGCAATGGCTGAAGCATGCAGTGCTTAATAATAATACTTGTCACAGGTGTTTCTTGCAGTAAAACTTTTACCCTGTGTTCATTTATTTTGTTCATTTCATTTCTATTTTGACGATCCATGAGCAAAGTCCAAAGCGCAGGGCGCAATCGCATTTAGGGTGTGTCAGAATCCACTTTTGCTATTTTGAGGATGGAAAAATCTGCCTTGCGTCGTGGGGCGTTGTCTAACAGGGTTTGCTTATTCTCTTAATGAGTTTTAGGTATGTTTTGAGAATAAACCAATCAGTCTCATCTCCCATTCCCTTTAAGAGTCAGTTGCGTCGTGCCATAGCGCATTTGCTATTTACATGACAGACTTTGTAAGTGGAAATACGGAGCGCTTCAAGAATGAGAGATGAGCCTCCTTATTCTTTACTTTTCACTTTCACTCTCGTGGATAGGCAAACTTGTATGACATCCATTAACCTATAAATAATTAATTTCGTTTGTTGAGCACAAAGATTTGTTTCAAAACTATTTCTAAATTCAGTTCTAATTTCCAGCAAATTAGTAAATGAACAATAATAAAGAAGTGTGTTCAAAAATTGAGTTTTTTTTCCAAATACACAAGCTATGCCCCATATGGTCTAAAACCTGACAGGTGGGCAAATCTAAGCTTGTTTTTAATAAAACAAATACAAATATGTATATAATAAATACTACTACTAATAATAACATTATTATAACAACTATTATAGTTCCTCAAAATAGCAACGTGTCAGGGATGCGCCTCAACACGCCTCCTTTTTTAGACCAGAACACCTATGGGCGCACATATAAGCGCAAATGCATTTGCTATTTAACGTGGTGCAAAGCAATAAAACGACTCTTGCGCCAAGCTGTAACTAGCAAACAACAATTGCGTCGCGCCCTGCACGGTGTGTATAATAGGGCCCTATATGTTAATACTTTAAATTTAAGTACAGGATGTTACCCATTTTATTAATCTTTTTAAAAGTACATCACATTTTAATTTAATGATTATCTTTTTTTTTATTTACCTGTAAGCACATAACAAGCAGTGTTAATGTTCAAACTGCAGACAAAAATAAATATTCTTATTAGGAAAAAAAGTCGCATTTTTATTTATTTTTAATTGTGGAGAGCTGTAGCTAAATAATTTAGCCTACTAAGCTACTGTATGTTAATGCAGGTAATAATGGTGGTACTTGGAGAGACAAATGTTTTCCGAGATGTTTCTTGGTGAAAAATGTTTGAGAACCACTACCATAGAATGATTCTCTAATGCCCAGCAGCCTTGCCCAGTTCTTTAAAGCCATCATGTCCAATGCAAAATAACTTTTACAATGAAACTCAAACTGGACAATACAGCACAATATTTCAGTCTCGTTATTTTCTCAGATGTTGATAATATTTGTGCATCTGAGCTTGAGAGAAAATATACAATTTAAAAAAAGGATATAATCTGGATAAAAATTATATATATATATATATATATATATATATATATATATATATATATATATATATATATATATATATATATATATATATATATATATATATATACACAAACATAAAAGGTTGTAAGATATCACAGAGAGTGAAGGATTTATCATTACTGCCTTCAAAAATTTATCAGATGAGGGTCATTTAGACAGGTAAAAGTAAAGTAAAGGTAAAAGGACAAGTAAAGCTTAGATAACAACATGGAAGCATGGAACACAGAACAATACTGAGTAAGGAATTAATGTCTCTGTGGTGTTTAAATAATAAAATAATGTTTACTGCAAAATCAGCAATAGATTTTTTTTTTTAAAAAGTGTTTTGTTAAAAAAATTACATAATCAACAAAAACTTTGAAGTGAGAAATTTGCGGCATTAAAACAAACCATATTTTAAAAAAGGGATCCTTCATAGTCACAATAATGGTATAATGGTACAATAATTCCAGCATCTGCACAATCTACACCACCAGGAGTGACTAGTTCTGTTCCTGGCAACAGAGTTCAGCTCCAACCCTGATCAAACACTCCAGGAACAAGATTGATCTACACAATACACTAACACCTGATTAGATCTCCAAGCAGTAAATTTAAAATTATATAATTTAAACAATAATTATAATGAATTCTTTTTCTACATTTCTAATTTTCTAACTAAGGTTAGTACCAGAAATATTTCATCATGTCAATATTTAATTTGCAGTAAACTTTAAGCATGTATTAATCTCAATTTGCATTATTTGCCTCCCAACTCCATTTGCCAAAGCCCTATACTACCATAACAAAATCAACAACACTTCAGACACCCGCAAACTGTTCAGGACATCAAACACCCTGCTCTCTATCGTAAGGGTAAGATGTGCAAACACGGTTTTAAAAATGTTTCTGTTACGATACCGCTATCCTGAACACTGGCGGAAGCATTGGAGTGGTCATCCTGCACGCTCAGGTGAACTGAACTGCAGACAACATCTCCACGGTCCTTTCTACTGTTTGACTCAAGTGAAGTCAAAATTCACATTATAGCCACATAGACCCTTGCTCGTCCAAATAAAAAAAAAAGTAAATAATTGAAAACAGACATCTTTTAAAAGTCAGCCTTTTAAACATCAGGTCACAACCACTGAAAGCACTTGTCAATAAAATAATAACAGATAATAATCCTAATGCAACGAAATCTTGCTTAAACCAAATCACTGTAATAGTTTAAATAAAGCCACTTCTTTCAGATTTGTTTATAAGCATAAGCCTCATCAAACTGGTCATGGTGGTGGAGTTGCATCAATCTTTAGTGATAATCCTTTTCTTAATCAAAGAAACAAAACTCTTTAACTTATCTGACTTTAATGTGACGATGTAGCAACAAATTTAACGATGTGCATCTCTTGTGGAGCTGCTTTAGAACAATAATTATTTTAAAAAATGCTATACAAGTAAACTTGAATTGAATAAGCCGCTTTGAACAAAAGCATTTGCATTTGAAAAAACTGAAATAATGAAAAACGGACAAAAAAATAGTAAATGTAAATGCAATAATGAAAAATATTCAAGTGTTGTTTATATGTCTGAGTGAGGCTTACACCTACAGTATATGTATAGAACTGGCCACAATAGATTTCTCAGTCAAAAGCTTATGTAATCTGCCCTCACTCATCCAATTACAGTTATTTCTGTGTGGACCAAGATTGTCACCGACATAGTCGTATATTGTAAGAAACATTTCAATTTTGTGTTGATTGTAGTGATATACTAATCATAATTTTTAGATATACTGTATATTCCCTTTTTCTCACCGCAATACTGTCAGAGCACTCCTCAGCTGTGGGATGGAGGAGATAGTCCACTTTAGCAGGACCTCTGATATATATACAGTTGGCAGCAACCTCCTCAGATACTGACAAGATCTCATAATGATGGTCAGATAGCTGCTCCATCACCTGTAACACAAAAATGCTGAGTGTGTAAGAATAATTGCATCACTTTGATTTAAAAAGCTGTATAATCCACAGAAAAGCTGCATAAACATTTTACATATAGATTATGTGACATTATACTGTCAAGGTCAAAATTATTCATACCACTGGGAAATTCTGACTTAAACATGCTGGTTGAATAAAAGTTTTTTGGAAATAACAGAGGCTTCTGCCAAAAGACAATGCATGAGTATGTGACAATGAGGCATCATTCATTTATTCATTCATATTCCTTTGGCCTAGTCCCTTTATTCAGCAGGGGTCACCACAGCTGAATGAACTGGCAACTTATCCAGCATATGTTTTACACAGCAGATGCCCTTCCCGCTGCATCCCAGCACTGGGAAACACCATAAACTTCCACATTCACACACATATTAAGTTTATTCACTTCACCTGTACGGCATAACTTTGGACAGTGGGGGAAAACCGGAGCACCCAGAGGAACCCCACAAAAACACAGGGAGAATATGCAAACTCCACACAGAAATGCCAGCTGACCATGTTGCCCAGAAGAGGCATTATTGTGGAAAAAACTTTTGGCATGTTTAAAGGGCCATGAAACCCCCCTGTTACAGCAGGGTGTTTTCACACTTCTAGTAGTAAAGTCAGGAAAGTGGGTGTGTCTAGCTCTGTTTGGGTGGGAGTGTTGGGGGAGGGAAAAGGGGAAGGATTTGAATAAAAATGGGAGTTTCCTTTTGGGCACGCGCTGATTTTCACAGAGGCAAAACTAACACACGGAGGGGAGAAAGACAGTGACTATGTTTAATGATGGTGGAATGTTTGTGACCGCACTTTGTAAAAGAGAAAAAAACTCTGCATTTCTTAGTAACTCAGAAAGTCAGAAAGCCGTGTGTGTGTGTAGACTATCCTGTCACAAAATGCGGGGAAAATTAAACACAACGGTCGGTAATAGTTTGCTTGCAGTGTTCACATTTACACTCAGAGAGCAGCATTTACAGCAGATCTTTCAGTCCTAATATTGTAGTGATATTAATGTAAACTATGTAACTTAGAAATCATTTTGACTAAGATCTGTTTTTAAACACTGAAAGAATACTGCTGACGATTCAAACAATACCTTTGCCATCTGAATGAACAAAGAAAGGGCACTGATCGAACACAATTACCAAATCTGTAGAGACAGGACTATCAACACCAACTGGAGCGGCGTCTTATATAAAAGGAGACGAGCAGCAAATCCGGATTTCACAATTTCCAGATGCGAAAAGCTCTCGAGTAAAAAATGTTCCGTACAAAAGTATTTCTGTCGCGTGCACTGATCCACACGTGAGTCCAGTTGCGCTCTCATAGCTGGAAAATGAAAACAAAACCTTCGTTGCAGCACAATATAAAGCAACACTAATGACCCTTATCTCCAAACAATTCTTATTCTTTTCCCACTTGTTTTGGCAACACAACATGTCGTCTCTGCCATCTGAACACTGTTTCAGGTACAAACAGTATTTAAAGCTAGCATACATATTAATGAAGTTGAACCGCATATACAATAGAGCGCGCTGATTGGTTTGAACCAAGTCTTACTCATGAATGAATGCAGCACACTCAGAGACGTAATAGGGTTCTCTCAGGTACAGAAGTCCAGTCTACATGCTGGAGTACGCGCTAAGATCTCATGGCCGTGACGCAGCTTCAAAAATTCATTTCAAACCGGAAGTACGAATTTGCTCGAAAAACACAAAAACAACCAATTTTAACTTTTTAATGAAATATATGTGTCCTAATAGTGTTTTTAGCAGTGTGGGACACATTCACGACTGTCAACAGCTAAAAAATGTGTTTGGTCTTTCGTGACCCTTTAAAACTATCCATACCCTTTTCACTAATTAATAGGAAAATGTTTATTGGTTATTACAGCAATCAAACTTCTGCTATAGTTGCGGACCAGTTTTTGCATGTTTCCACTGGTATTTTTGCTCATTCTTCTTTAACAATGAGCTCAAATTCTCACAATTTTACAATCTTTATCTCTCTCCACAGATTCTTAACTGGATTTAAGTTAGGACTCTGGCTGGGCCACTGCAAAACATTAATGTTTTTGTCTGGTAACCATTTCTTCATTACTTTGGCTGTGTGTTTTGGTTTGTTGTCATGCTAAAATGTCCACTGGTGGCCAAGGCCAAGTTTCTCTGCAGACTGCCTGATGTTGTTGTTGAGAATTTTTATGTATTACTCCTCTTTCATGGTGCCATTTACTGTGATAAGGTTTCCTGATACAATGGCTGAAAAACACCTATCAAAACACTAGGTTCTTACCACCATGTTTGACAGTGTGATGATATCCTTAAGGTTGAAGGACGTCATTAACTTTATTTGTTTTTTTATGGCAAATAAAGTCTAAATCATGGCCAAATAATTACATTTTTGCTTCATCTCAAAATAAAACAAAAGACCAGAAATTATCTTTGTCCAGATGAGCATTTGCAAAGGCCAAGTGGGCTTTTGTGTGTCAGGAGAGCCGGTGTCCTCCTTGGTCTGCGTCAATGCAATCCATCAGTGTCTGTTGAACAGTCTGCCTTATGTTGCCAACAGCAGAGCCCAGATTCATTAGGATGAACTTTTTTTTTAACCACTCTCACCATCCTCCACTTGTGGCTTCCAATCAGGTCTGCTGAGATTTTTCATTGCGTGGTACATTTTATATTTTTAAAAACACTTTGCTCTGTAGCCAATGGAACTTTTAACACATAGATATGGTCTTATAGCAGTTTCCTGTCTTTTAAGTAGCCACAATGCCAAACAACAGGTACTCACAGAGCTTCTTTATCTTAACCATGACTGTCCACAAACCAAGAGCAGAGAGCTTCTGTTTTTTTGTTTAAAGGTAAATAAAAGGCGAGAAATATTTTTCACAACAATGCCTTGTCGACTTCACCTTATTATATTCTGAGAGGAACCGGTGTCATTTCCAGTATAAAAAATAAATAAATAACAAAAAAATAAAAGTAACTGTAACTGATAACTTATAAAAGTAACTGAACACTTACTCTGAGTGTTTTCTTTGCCCCATCACTGTTGCTAATAATGATGGTATCGGGACCACCCATGGAGCAGATGTTCTTCAGACGAGAGCCTCCACACACTGGCACAGTGGAAACAGCAAAGTCCTGGGCAAATATAGCTAGTGTTAAATGAAAACCCTTCCCACTGTGCAGGACTTGCATCTGTTATTCCCAAACTAACTGATGCTGTATTTGCCATAAAAGAAGGCCCTACACCATACTAATGAATTACTGTGGTCTAAAACCAGGCGTTTCAGTTTTATTGTCCAACCCCTGTGTGTGTATGTGTGTTTGTGTATGTGTATGTGTGTGTGTGTGTGTGTGTGAGTGTATATATATATATATATATATATATATATATATATATATATATATATAATGTAAGAAGTTGTTTCCTTTATCCTGTTTACTCTGCTCTCTCTTTTCCTCTTGTTTCCTTTTTGGCAACATCCTTTCTGTTTGAACATTTTGGCATTTCTAATTTTATGTCATGTCTAGCTTAACACACTAGACTCTAGCTCCTCTGCGCTAAGACCATTATCCCTTACACAGCTAATTAGCATTGTTCCTCAGCAACCAATACAATCATCAACATTTTTGTGCACACTGTGCTGTGCCAATGAGAAGACATCATTGCAGACATGTAGGGTTGTCAGTTCCAGAAGCTTGTTAAAATAGCAGGGATTAGACTATTACATGCAGATCAAGAAAATACAGATCTATAAAAATAATAAAAACAATATTTCAGGATTTTTGAGGGCAGCCAGGCAAGGGCCGCATTCACTTTTCCCCTGAAAATGCCCCTGACAATGTGTAATGTGCATAATGACTCCTACATATACAATGTTCTAATAAATCCATACTAAGAGAACTAATTCAATAAAATACTGCTCACCCTGAAGGTGTCAGCCAGAATTTCTGCTCCCCGGTGATTTGTATGTTTGGAAATGCCCACGAAGAACTCTTTTCCAGTAAAAAGGACATCACTTCCTTCAAGAGTGGCTCCACCAGAACCCCCTTCCTCTTCGCCCATTTCCACCACCGTCATGTTCAGTTCATTTAGGACTCGCCGCACAGCCTCTGCCTAAACAAATTTTTGTTATGATCAATTTCTACATCTTTTGCACTTTATTTTTATTTTACGAGTTTTTTTTTTTTTTTTTAAATAATTACAATTTGATATTTGGTACAAAATTTGACAAACAATTGTCAAGTAGCACTGAATTAAACACGAAAGGGTAAAATTGAAAAAAGAAATATATTCTTGTAAAACATACTACAAAAATCATCATTTTATTTAGAAAAAAAATGAAAAAACATTTCATAGAGTACATCTTGTGTCTACCACTTACCTCACAGCATCTCTGCTGTTTGAAGGGTCGTGTAATGAGCGCTGTGTCACCTTGGATAACAGCAATGTCTTCGATTCGCCAGCTCTCAGGCAGATCAGAATCTACCTGTATTTCAATCAACTGTAGTCCCACCTTTTGCCTTAATGCACCTGTCAACACCCCCATCTGACGCTTGGCCTTGGCAATATCAGTCTGAAATCCATCTCCACCCTCTGCCAGCTTCCCAAAGGATTCTGGGATACCTCTAACAATAGCATGAGTAAAGCAGCCATATGGATATATATTGGCCATGCTGGCCTCTCAATGAATGTGGTTGAAGTATGATCGGTGGCTGGTGAATCTTATATAAGCTTAAGAGAATGTGTGTGTGAGTGGCTGTTATTGAAGTCATGCAAACTGATTACGTTTAAGGGTGTAACGAACAGTCAATCTGTAAAAATGATAAGAAGCTTCAAAAGATGAAAAATAGTTCAGGAAATCATGCTCGACTTTTCTGACCAGGGGATTCGAAGATGACAAGAAGTGTTTGCCCCTAAGAGAGAAAATAAATGGAGAGAAAACAATATTAAAAGCTTTAAACAAAAAATAAAAATAAAACAACAAGAACTAATCCTCAGTTAATATTTGGGCCTTGAATCTCATCCTCCAGTGGGATTAGGGGATTTGTTTTTCTGTACAAACATTTTGAAAAGTAAATTACCAAGTGCACTTTGAGAGCAAAATATGGAGCTGATCCTCATTTTAGCTAACAGAATAACAAAAATAATAAACTTAAACTACAAATTGGACTTCGTCATCTACTTCAAACTTAAAATATGGTGTAATGTCTCAGTCCACATCGGTTTACGCTTTCAGAAACGATAAACCACCTCAGACCATCAGGAGTGTGAATGAACTAAACAAATGAATAAGCACCTATGCTTTTAAAAAAATCCTCATGGAATTGCCCACTTGCTTTATTAGGCAGACAAGCAAATAGTTTACCAAGTTGTTGACACGTTTTCTTTGCTTAAACCTGCCTCAACATGTAGTCTTAACTTGGATGACAAAATACACACGTAGTTTACAAACACATCTTATTTCAAATGCAAATTATCGGATCAGGAATGTCTGGAATTAACTTAACAGTTGGATATACGGACACATATAGCATACAGTCGCTGTATTAAGCAGCATATAAACATAGTGGTGTAAACATTAAATAAATTACAACTAGACCAATGAACCAGTTTTTAATGATAATATTAATAATAACAAACATGAACCATTTATATTTTAAACGGCGTTCTGGAAAAACGTTTGTCCCTAAACAACAGTTTGTCCAAAGCTGTCGGGGCTGCCAAAGTTGACGCCCTGTTGAAATACAACAAATTGTGAACCGTCCTACCTTACACACAATCAAACAAGTAAACTCGATGTCCTTTCACTGTAATGTCCAAGTACACATTCGGGCTTACAAAATAAAGTACCGTTATTATCTACTCCTAACCTCGACTATTTCCCTTCCCCCTCAACACATCCTGCCTTTTGGAGATTTACTTATCACTGCTTACGTTAAACAAAGAGAGATCTAACAGGAACGTACTTTAAAACGAATCCTAAATTGTTCTTTAACAAACTTCTTACCTCCTGAGACGAAGTTGGACAACAATTCTTAAAATCTGCCCGACTCTGATCCGCATAAAAAAACAATCCAAACCATATTTTAGGATTTTCCACCTACCCCTCTTGTTGTTCACAATGCCACACCTCCACCGCTCCCTATATTTCTTTTTAACATATAACGAAACTTTCTTGGATCGAAAAATCAACGAAGCTGTGGTCTGCTGTTCTTATTAGACAACGTGATTAGTGAATTTTGAGCTATGACCGCACGTGTTTTATTTGCAGTTATTCGCTAATCCGCTCTTTTAATAAGTAGGTCGGGGTTAACTTTGTCATCCCTGTTTTATCAAGAGTATTTATGTTGCGCTTTAGGGTCGGACAGATGACAGACGTGGGGGTGCCATCTGAGCATTTAACATTTCTAGCCTTTTCTGAAAATTATTAACTCTCTAATGTTAATAAATGCTCTCTCAAATGAAAAATATAACTTTCTGTGATTTAAGCATTAATAGCACATTGTGATTCATGATTTAGCAATAATTTTAAAAAGGCATTGCAGGGTTCCCTAAGCTAAATATAAAATTCCCTGACTTTTCCCAGGGAGTTTCACTGAAATGCTTATTTCCATGACCAATAATGAATGGATAAAAAATAAAATCAGACCGCTGCTGCGCCTTGCATAATTTTGGGAACAGCAAAATGGAAAATGACAACCCATCACAGGTACAATGAAAGTAGAGTAAAGCAAGAGATTCAGCATGCCCTGGACTGAGCTGGTACTGAGACGGACGGGACACTGTACATGTGTAATGTCCAATTCTAACTATGTCTGCGATCACAGAGGAACCTGCTTATCCACATGCAGGTGGAATGTGTAAGCCCCAAATCTCTCAGTCTGTGTGGAAGGATGGTGTTAAATGTCGCACTGTAATCTACACAAAGCATCTGCACATTGCTCCCAGCTGTAATAACATGCTATGAAGTGGTGTGGCTGCAGTGTCTGCTGTGTAGCTATCTGCTCTTGGCATACAGGTGGGGGTCCGGGCTGCAGTGTAGGGTTGCTGTTTTTGTTGTGGACCAGTTAATCAAAGCACTTTATTACCACTGGGGTAAGCGCCACTGGCCTGTAGTTGTGGAACTTCTTCGGCAAGGGGACTATGGTGGAGGTCTTCAGGCAGGACACAATGGACTTTGCCAGTGATTAGTTAAAATCCTTGTGAAGACTCTGGATGCAATTAGGCCCTGTGTGCCCTCTACCACATTTATAGCTTGATAGTATTTTTACAGACTTTACATTTTGTATTTCCGTCATCTAATTTTTAAACACCAGTCATTGAAGTGGTCATTTTGAAGCCAAAGCTCAATATTGGTCCTTATTAACAGTCTGATGACTGCATTTTTAGAGATTGCCAGTTGACGATGAAGCTGAAAAAAACACAATACATATCACATTCGTTCATTTTCTTTTTCGGCTTCGTCCCTTTATTAATCTGGGGTCGCCACAGCGGAATGAACTGCCAAATTATCAAACATGTTTCAAAAAGCGGATGCCTTTCCAGCTACAACCCATCTCCGGGAAACATCCATACACACCCATTCACTGCGTCGTCAGGTGTGAAACAATGCAATAATAATAATAATAATAATAATAATAATAGTAATAAAATGTTTTAGAAAAATGACATTTAAAAAATGGAAAATTTAATTTAAAACAACAATCAAAACTCCATGATATTTCATGTCTTTGACAAAAGTATAAAAATCAATCTCTGGAATAGACCATTTAAAATTAAAATCACAAATTGAAATGACTTGATATTGACTTGGTCCATTGGTCCATTCTTCATGAACTCATCAGCTGATCAGATATTTACTCCAGGATAATAGTATGCCAAAACTAATTGGGGTGTCCAATATTTGAACGTCATGAGTCGAAGCACTATCAAACAATTTTTATTCATCTTCTTGTTCTGAAATTGCTGTTATATACAACAGTACAGTTGACACTTTCTGCTTTCACTGTATCAGAAGGTGGCATTAAGTGACTCTTAATCAGTGAGTCACTGATTCATTTACTCATTGGATTTATTCAAGATCACCACATGCACACCAGACAGCAGAAAAAAGCTGCAGAAGATAATTAATGGTCATCAATATTGGGTTGTATGCAGAAATTCTGTGCGGTTAGAACACATTGTTTACATAACTAAATTAACATTGCTTACAGACAAAATCTGTTACATTACTTTCTCTTAATCCCTTAAACAGTATTTTATTAGATATTTAAGAATGTTTTCAGCAGAAATTTGAGAATAACTTTGCCTGAAATAGTTTTTTTTTTTTAACTTTGTTTATTACAGTGGAACTGCAATATAAAGGGTTGTGTAAATAAAGGTGACTTGCCATGTCGCTGTTAATGAGCATTAGTCATTTATAAAACAACAGAAAGTTAAGTGTTTAATAACTTAGTGTGTACTTTTCCCTCACAGTCCAAAGACATGCGGCACAGGTGAATTGGGTAGGCTAAATTGTCCGTAGGGTATGAGTGTGTGTGGATGTTTCCCAGAGATGGGTTGCAGCTGGAAGGGCACCCGCTGCATAAAACAAATGCTGGATAAGTTGATGGTTCATTCCGCTGTGGCGACCCCAGATTAATAAAGGGACTAAGGCGAAAAGAAAGTGAATAAGGTAATATCACTATTAAAATCAAGATTAAGTGGATTTTATGCCATTGGCATAAAGGTAATAAAGGAGCATTTTTATTTTATGAATATGAAATTTATGTTTGGACATGAAATATATGGCTTTTTTCACAGGCATGAGGAAAGTGCTGTTCAGAACAGTTCAATATGAGACATATATGGGGGATGGAGCAAGAGATTGAGACAAAGAGAGAGACAGACAGGATTAAAGTACCAACCATCTGTCTGATCCTTTTTCTTTTTTTTTTCAAACCAAAATCCCTCACAAAAGTGACTCAATCCTCTCTCTTTGCACTTTATGTGTAATTCCATGATGTGTAATAATGAATGCAATGTCTTCAAGGTGTTCCTTAAGTTTATTAGTGTATGTTTTGTTAGTGTCTCTGCCATAATCACTAGTAAACCGCTTATCGTGGCCATGTCACGATCTTGTGTCACAAGATTGCTGTCATTTTGTGCTATGCATACCAGTAATTTGGAAAAAGCAGACATTCTTTCAGTCCTGTGGTGTTCAGAAACACACAAATGCAGTACATGCATACTTTTTTTAAAAACAATAACATTTCCACATAATTATAACAATATGAAAATGTATAATTTGTCTTAAAGGTGCCAGATAATGAAAAAAAATCTGAATATAGGTATAGCTGAATAATAAGAGTTCAGTAAATGGAAATAGCATACCAATAGCCTCAAAGACAATTGTTTTCCTGTTCTCATGTAAACCCCGAGTGTACAATCCCAGTGAAAAACCATTACATTGTTCACGGCAGCATTAATATTCATGCCTGGTTGCATTTGATTGCCCACATTTCCTAGTGAAATTACAACAAACATAATAGTTTTCCCTTGTTTTTTGTTTATTTAATGTACTGTTTATATGGGGTTTACCCTAGTTGAAAATTGCCCTAGTTAAAAACTCAGTCAATCTAACTTTCAGTAAAATTTGAGTTAACTAAACTCATTTAATTTGATAAAGATGACTGTTGGATTTTACAGTGTAACAGTTTTTTTTAAGTCAGCCAAGAGGGGTCAATGCAGATCTGGTGCAGTGCAATCTGAGCTGCATCCAATGCTTTTTAATGGGCTCACCTAACCTCACCACTAACCCTACCCCTCACAGTGGCGTCACTAGCTCCAGTGAGTGCATTGTGTCTGACACTGCATCACTGGGAGATGCAGTCTCAGCTTGCATCATAAAGGCTGCATCCTATTGAGTCAGCCAGCCGTCTGTTCACTGCAGTCAGAACACAAAATGCAGGATATCCAGATTATAAATTTATTTAGAGCCACCCTGAAGAGGATTAAGGCCTGTTTAATGCTCAAATCTGCAAGACGACTGAAAGTGGTGAGTGACCCCTGATGGAAATGTTTATTTGACTCCTTTAAAGCAAAGGAGCAAAATAACTTGGGTTGTAATTACTTCCCCAATAATATATGCACAATATCACATTGATATTAATTTTTTTTTTAAATATGTCTTCTGCTTGGTTGGTGCTTTTAAACCATTTGTAGCCACTTCTTTTGGGTGTGTGTGTCAAAACTGTAAATAAAAAGCTCTAAATGAAAAAAGTTCAATGAATCCACAACAATAAATTGTTTCTGACTTTTTTTGTTTTACTTATTTACAAAACTACAGTAATTCCAATTTGAAATTTGTTTTTTAACATTTTTGCTGTAACTTCATAAATTCCAACTTAAAATATTGTTAATTATCATTTTTTATGATTCCATAACAAAATGATCAGTAATTTAGTAAGTTAAACTCACAGATTATTAGACCTCAACTGCCTTTATAAAATTTAATGTTTAAATTACAATCAATTTGATGACATGTTTGATATCAATATGATGTTGTTTTGACATCAAGTTACCCACTGGGCAATGCAATACTTTATGTAAAAAACATTACATAGGCTACTTACAAAAGTCAACATAAGCACCTTGCCAGAGTCAAGAGAATTAAAATGTTTAATATACAATCCATGTATAACATACATAATCTACAAATCAATAATTTTGAATACAAGTCATTATTATAAAGATTATTAGCATCTGATTTAACTCAGCGGTTCTGATTTGATTTTTTTTCTGTGTCACTCGCTGTCAGGGTTCTGCTACTCTAGTCTTGTTAATTCTTTTTTTTGGTGGCAGATCCAGAGTCCAGACACAAGTCCTGTCATGTCTTGTATATTGTGTTTAGCTCGAGTTTTCTTAGGGTTGAGCACTCATTTTCTGTCATTGTGCGTCTTTTGTATGAGCGCCCTCACGACCGCGCTTGGGCCATGTGTGCTCCAGCTTGATGAGGGCGTGCGAGGTCTGGGCGTGTTTATCATGCGTGCTCTCGTCTTGGTGTTTGTTCTTTTATATTATTTGTCCTTTATTTTATTATAAATAAAAATCAATTTTCCCTGCACCTGAGCCCTCCGCCTTTTTCCCACCCAATGAATGTGACACTCGCAGCAATTTTTGTTGAGTGTTTTGAATGAGTAAAACTGGCCACAGTTAAAGGTGGCTTATGTCAGAATGGGCCAAATATGAGATATATCCAGCTGCAGGCCCGCACACACAATCTAGGACACACAATCTAGGCAAACCATATATGGTTACGACGGATG